TTTCGACCTGTTCGTCCACGCCGAGCGCCTTGGTCAGCCGGGCGAACTCGACCACGTTCGGCGTCACGACGGCGTTGTTGTACCCCTTGATGAGGGATGGATCCTTGGCCACCAGCAACAGGGCGTCGGCGTCGAGAACCATGGGGATTCCCTTCTCGCGCGCCGCGGCGATCACCTTGGCGCAGGTCTCTTGCATGATGGGATCGCGGCCGAGACCGGGGCCGATGACGAGCACGTGCAGTCGGTCGAGCATGGGGATGATCTGGGCCGCTACTTGGGCAGGGTCGGTGTCCGGAGCAGATTTTGTGAGCGAGGATGAGCTGTCGGCCTGTGAGCGGCTGAGGGCCGGCGGTGAGGAGCGCATGAGCGGGTGGACATGAGGTTGGGAGAGTAGGTCTTGATGACTTGGGCGGCGTTAGGAGTGCAGATTACGTGGGACTGTCGTTGTCCATGTTAGTCAGTATCGTAACTGCAACGTAAATGTGGGAGTTTTGGTGGTCAGACTTACGAGATCAGAGCCCAGTCTTGCGCTCGCCATGGCCGAGAAGTAGGGTGCACCTGTGTAGTCCTCGCTGCCACCGATGACAGCTATACGGCCGAGTTGTCCTGTTGTTTTGGAAATTTCATGTTAGCTCTTTGCCCCTTGCCAATCTTTCAGCTACCCGATTCAAGTGTCTCCTTTCGTATCCTGATGCTTGGAAATAGCTTCCCGGCGACCCCATAGCCACGGTGGCGGAGACAAGCTCGTCTCCCCAGAGCTGGACCACCAGATGTCGCAATCTAGACATGACATGCCTTTATGGAATTTCTCCAGCAATGGCGGCACCATTTGCCGCACACGGACTAGCATCTGCTTGGTGGTTGCCGACATTTCCGGGCCTGTTGATGACTCGAAGGACATATCTGAGGGATAGGAAATAGAAGCTGGATGGGCGATGCTGTTAGTTTAACGCGGATTTGTCCACAAGGTACGGTGTTGAATGGTTCAGAAGGTATTGGTCTGCGAAACCAGACGACCGGATTCAAGAGCTGTCCAGATCTTTGAAAGATGGGATGGGATTGAAACTGTTTGGAAGTCTGGAACGCGTGGGATGACGCGGGGTGGTGCTTTCCACTTGCATTGCGTGTTCTTGAGCTCCGACCACTGCAGTTGACTTCGGAGTTCAGTGCGATTGATGGGAAATTGGAATGTTAAAATTTAGGAGAAGCGAAATGGTAAGCTTGCCAGTAGTTCACAGGTTATTTGAGTTCTAGTTCAAAGAAATCTGATGGATTGTTAGCTGTCAATCAAAGGCGAAATTCCCATGCTGTTTGGGTGAAGCTGCTAGCTGCCTTGCTGGAGCTGTCGCTCATGATGTCACTGACGTGCTGCCCCGCCAAGCCTCAAATCCCAACTGCTTGTCACCGGTCTTTCAGCACAAGTCCAGAATATCGAAGATCGCACATACATGAACCCACAAAGACAGTTGAACTTGTCAGCAGTTTGCTGAATTGGTATTTTTAGGTGTGGCGGGCCGATGATTCGGATGGCAGCCGAATGTAAATCTGCAATAATCTCTCTCACATGGTTGGTCGTCACCTTATCGAGTTATGTTGTTTTCCTTACTGCAGAAACAAGTCGAGACACCTGGTTGAAAACACATCAGATCGTCCGCTTGAAAGACACAAAAGAATGCACCAAGTAATCCTTTGAACAAGCCTTCCCGTTGAGTGTAGAATTCATAACCTCGTATTTTGAGTGCCTGACAAAGGGAATCGAGTGCTTGATTGAGACTTGCTCTAATTTACAGTAGGTTCGCCAAGAGAATCTCCCCTTCTCACGCGTCCATTCCTCAGTCCAGCACCCGACGGAAGACGGAACACCTTCCCCTAGAAACACGGAACTGCGCGGTAAAGATAACGGACCCACTGCGCGTTTTCAAGAACCACGGAAAATTATTTCATATTTGTATGCATTTAACCGAGGAAGCTCTTGGTGAAGTTCTGGATAACATCACGGAGATTGGCCTCGAGGTCCTTGGAGATGGCACCCTCCTTGTCGATAGTGGCCATGATCTCAGACTCGTTGGTCTTGAGGTGGGCGAGGAAGTCAGCCTCCCACTGGAGGATCTTGGCAACGGGGACGGAGTCGAGGAAACCGTTGACACCGGCGAAGATGAGGGGAACCATCTCGTTGACGGCCATGGGAGAGTACTGCTTCTGCTTGAGGAGCTCGGTCAACTGTAGAGGGGCTTGTCAGCTCTGCACCGAGAGATGGGGAATTCAGCTTGTTGGTACTTACACGCTCACCACGGTTGAGGGTCTGCTTGGTAGCAGCATCAAGATCGGAACCGAACTGGGCGAAGGCAGCGACCTCACGGTACTGGGCCAAGAAGAGCTTGAGGGAACCAGCGACTTGCTTCATGGCCTTGAGCTGGGCAGCGGAACCGACACGAGAGACGGAAAGACCGACGTTAATGGCGGGACGGATACCCTTGTAGAAGAGCTCAGCCTCCAAGAAGATCTGACCGTCGGTAATGGAAATGACGTTGGTAGGAATGTAAGCGGACACATCACCACCCTGGGTCTCAATGACGGGAAGGGCAGTCATGGAACCACCGCCGTGGGTCTTGTTCATCTTGGCGGCACGCTCGAGGAGACGAGAGTGGAGGTAGAAGACATCACCGGGGTAAGCCTCACGACCGGGGGGACGACGGAGAAGGAGGGACATTTGACGGTAAGCAACGGCCTGCTTGGTAAGATCGTCGAAGATGACGAGAGAGTGCTTGCCGGAATCACGGAACCACTCCCCGACACACGCCTATTTGTAATCTTCATGTTAGCCAGTCTGGTCTGGTTGGTTTCGAAGAGGGGGGCGGAAGTCCGAGGGGAAGAGGTTTGGTGATGTTTGGGGAAGGGGGTGTGGGATTTGGAAAAAGTGGATCTGGGATTTCAAAAGGTGGGTGTGGGATTTCAAGAAGCGTGTTTGGAATTTCAAATGGGTGTTGGGGAATTCAAAAGGGCTGTGCAGGCATCTCGAAGGCATCCTCGTATGTTTGAAAGACATTCTCCCATGGTTGGAAGGCGTCCGACCAAACTATGGAGGTGCTACCCAAACTAGGAGGGTGTTCGAAGGCCGGTTGGTAGGGTCTGGTGAATTTTGGAAGGAAATCGATTGGGCAGCCACTTACACCGGTGAAAGGAGCGAGGTACTGGAGGGGAGCGGCCTCGGAGGCGGTGGCAGCGACGACGATGGAGTACTTCATGGCGTCGTTCTCCTCGAGGGTCTTGACGAGCTGGGCGACGGTGGAACGCTTCTGACCGACGGCGACGTAGACGCAGTAAAGCTTCTTGTCCTCATCGGAACCGTTGTTCCAACGCTTCTGGTTGAGGATGGCATCGAGAGCGACGGCAGTCTTGCCGGTCTGACGATCACCAATGATCAACTCACGCTGACCACGGCCGATGGGAACCATGGCGTCGACGGACTTGAGACCAGTCTGGACGGGCTGGTTGACGGACTGGCGGGGAAGAATGCCGGGGGCCTTGAGCTGGGCACGACGCTTCTCCTTGCAGTTGATGGGACCCTTGCCATCGATGGGGTTACCGAGGGCATCGATGACACGGCCGAGAAGCTCGGGACCGACGGGGACATCGACAATTTCGCCGGTACGCTTGACGGTCTCACCCTCCTTGACGAGACGATCGGAACCGAAAAGGACGACACCGACCTGGCCGGCCTCGAGGTTCATGCACATACCCTTGACACCGGAGGCGAACCTGGGGGTTGACGGTCAGATATTGGGCAAAAGAGCATCCGTTAGGTTAGGGACTGGAACATACTCGACAAGCTCCTCAGCCTGAACGTTGGCCATGCCGTGAACACGGGCGATACCATCACTATACGGAAAAGGATATGTCAGCATCCACAAATTCGCGTCATGGTTCTCATTAATCACAGCAGCAGCATGGGCGACGGTAACAGCAGCAGCAGCAGCATCATCGTCATCGCGAATATCCAGCTTCAACACATCTCGTCGCGGGCACGGTCGTCATCGTCATCGTCATAGTCGTCGCCATTGTTGCTTCAGTTGTTTTTGTTGTTGTCATCGTCATTGTTGTCGTCGTGTCGTGATATGCTTGCTGAGCTTCTTTCGTGATACCGCGTCGACCCTGATGCTCTCCTGCCGTTCCCCCTCTCTGCTGCCAAGAATCGTAACCATAACCCAGAAAAACGTACCCGACGGAGAGGACGCGGCCGGTCTCAGCGAGGTTGGACTCCTCCTGGACACCACGGATTCTCTGCTCGAGGATGGAAGAGACCTCGGTGGGAGTGGCCTTGGCGTCGGCGTAGGTGCGGGCCTGGACGGCGGAAACTACAGGTGCGGCATTTCGCTGTTGTCGAGTTAGCCCTAGCCGAACCTTGGTGACATGCTTCACGACACATGGGCAGCCCCCCAACAAGCCCATCGACATCCTCGAGGCCATGCGCCATGATGACAAAGCTCCAAGTGCTCCGGGACCCGATGAGGTTATATAGAAAGAGGCGGCCGGTGATGTTGAAGGTGGATCGGGTGTGCGGAGTTAACCTACCGCGGCGACTCTGCCGGTGGCAGAGAAGGCGCCGACGGCGCGAGTGCTCTGGCGGAGGGCGTTCCGGAACATGTTGTGGAGGTGTCTGTTCGTGACGAGCAGAAAGGAATGCAATCGCAACACAATTGCAATTGCGTGGAGGGGAGAATGCGGGAGGTTGATGGAGGTTTGGAGAGCCCGGCGTGAGGAAAATTGTCGAGTGGCCTTGGTTCGAATGCAAAAGGTGGGCGGAGCTTGGACAAGACCAATCACGAAGGGGCTGAGAATTTTGCTCTCTACCAGAATCCCGAGCGCTCCACCAACCACGCCTCCAAAATCGAGAGGTTTCTGAGGTTACTACAAAAAGGGAGCGCATCCGCCGCACCTTCACCCGCCCATCCACATCAATCTCCCCTCCCCGCCTCGAGCCTTCCGAGCCGAACGCTCAAAAGCACATTGCTACATGCCGTGTCCAGTTCTCCATTCCACTTCTGACTGCAGCCGGCCCCGGACCTCCGTGACGACAGCGGTCTATGGTTTCCATCTTCCGATTGTTCCTCTGCCCCGACCTCAGCAAGGTCCTCTTTACCTACGTGTACCTTAGCTCTGAGCGAGTGACTGCCCCGGGCGGCGGCGGGCTGCATCCTCAGGTGTCAAGCTCTCGCGGCAGAAGTCTGCCCAGCTGCCCAATAATCCGTCGCCCGGGTAATCCCGGAGAAATGTCGCAACCTACCAGAAGCTCTGGCCGCCCCCGGTTTGGCGTTTGGCAATTCGGCACCTTTTTCACTGCAGGCCAAACAGCTCCGGTCTCGATTTTCACGCTGGGAGCTGTCGTAGCTTCAGCTGCTGGGAGTCAGTGCCCACTGACCTTCGAATTCATCTTTCAATATGCCCCGTCTTCCCCAGGTTTTTGTACGGCGTTACGAGTTTGAGATAGCATCACCTAGCAATATCTCAGTCTTGCATCTTGTCATTGCATCTCCGTCCACCATTTCAAAATGTTTCAATTGAGCAGCTTTTCGTTGCCGGTCAAACACATAAGCATCTCATCGCAAATGAATGACGTCTGCCAGCTGGCCACCTCCCCTCTTCTCCCGTCCCATCCCCTCACCATTCAACGCCATCTCGTTTTGACTGGTTGCTAGCTGCCAACACTTGGACAAGGAATCAGTCCGCCAAAACATCAATAAATATTTGTGTGTTCGTTCGTTGTCAAGACGCTCAGTGCCCATACCCCCACAATTTGACTTGTACTGTACATACCGCCTTGGGCCGTTCCAAATATCACCAAACCTCTTCCCCTCGGACTTCCGCCCCCCTCTTCGAAATCAACCAGACCAGACTGGCTAACATGAAGATTACAAACACTGCCTGCTCCAAGAAGCTATGAGTTAAACATTGGATGCTCTCAGATTAGTATGTTCATGAGATAACACGTAATTGCCCTAACCAACTTCTTGGGTCGCTGTGGGTTTGAACGGAACTGGATTCTGACACTCGAGGGATACTCCTATCCATACCTTGAGCTTCAAGAGAAATCAATTATCAGATTCCCGACAGACACTCGAGTCTATTTCCACCTAGCCCCAGTGTATGTTCACTAGTGAATCTATCGCCTTCGAGAATGCTTCTAGACCAACCCTTACATTGAATATGTAAATCATTCCGATTCTTCAAGAGGAGAGTTCCAAGGGAGGAATGCGGCATGCGTTTGCTCAAATCATTGAAGCCAATTCGACTCCCTTCTTGAATCAGGGTTAGGGTAAAAGCAGCAACATGCTTACTCTGCATCAGACAAGGACCCCTGTCGCGTGGCGCCTTCCGTCGTCACGTTCTCGGTGTCGCAGATGGCCGAAGTCGAGAACCTTGACAACTCTCAACTCTGTCAAAGGGACATCTCCCGTACTTGTCCCAAACAGTATCTGAATAGCGACCGAATCGGTCATGTTTTGCCTCTAGGGTTCAAATTGTCCTACAAAGAATACAAACCACTGCACGCCGGCCGCGCAGTCTTCGCTGCTATTGAGTAGTAGCACCCTCTCTTTTTTCGGTGAACGGGTCAATCCCGCCAAACAGCCACATCGAGGTGCATCGTGTTCAAAAGAAGATTATCTGGGCGCAGACCTTCCTCGCCCGTCCTCGCCATGCCACCATTCACGTACTCGGACGATACGCTACGGTCTGGCCGCGATCGCTTCAGAGACCACAGTCCCAGCCAGCATCGAAGAAGCATGTCACAAGAAACAGACTCCTCCGCATCCACGACGAGCATCGTCTTCGATCGCATACAAGAACGTCTCGACACGAAAGAGTTTACGCCCCGCGGCACCGACGGCGATGATGACGGCTCGCTTAAGGACGAGCTAAACAATGACGATCTCGAGACCGGGCCTTTCTTGGGCAATGCCGATTCGTCTTCCCGCTCAGACCAGCGCTCGCCCGGTGACGGCCAGCGGATGGATCGCAGTTTGAGGAGATGGCTATTTATCGTCTCGGGAGTGTTGGTCGCTACTTGGGTTATCGGCCTCTTCGTCTTCGTCTCGTCCAAGGCCTACAAGCCATCCTCCTCCTTCGCGCATGATCCCCAAGCAACAGTCACGCACGGCACTGGAAAGAAGGTCACGCTAGACCAAGTCTTGAATAATCAATGGCGCGCAAAGAGTCATTCCATCAGCTGGATTGCGGGTGCAAACGGAGAAGATGGCCTACTTCTGGAGAAGGAGGGCGTCGGGAAAGACTACCTTGTGGTGGAAGATGTGCGGGCTCAGAACCCTTCCTCCGTTCAAGCCTCCAAGAGCAAGGCCCTGATCAAGGAAAAGCTGTTTGAATTTGCCAACAAAACATACTGGCCCAGTATCACGGTTCCCAGCCGGGACCTGAAGAAAGTCTTGCTTGCGACGGACGTCAAGAACAACTGGCGTCACTCATACTACGCTGTCTACTGGATTTTTGACGTCGAGACCCAACAAGTTGAGCCTCTGGTTCCTTACGATGTTGAGGCTCGGCTCCAGCTGGCGTCTTGGAGCCCTACCAGTGATGCTATTGTCTACACGCGGGATAACAACATGTTCCTTCGCAAACTCGGCAGTGATAAGATTGTGCAGATCACTAGGGACGGCAGTGCAGACGTATTCAACGGTGTCCCCGACTGGGTTTACGAAGAAGAGGTGCTGGCTAGTGGTGTCGCTACCTGGTGGTCTGAGGATGGCCAATACGTCGCATTCTTACGAACCAACGAGACGGGAGTCCCTGAGTATCCCATCCAGTATTTTGTGTCGAGGCCCAGTGGTGAAGAGCCCAAGCCGGGAGAGGAGAACTACCCTGAGGTCAGGCAAATCAAGTACCCGAAGGCCGGTGCCCACAACCCCATTGTCGACCTCAAGTTCTATGATGTGAAGCGTGGTGATGTCTTCTCTGTCGATATTTCAGGCCGTTTTGCCGACGATGATCGTCTGATTACCGAAGTTGTCTGGGCCGGAAAACAGGTGTTGATCAAAGAGACCAACAGAGTCAGTGATGTGATGCGCGTCGTACTGGTTGATGTTGGATCCCGCACTGGAAAGGCAGTCAGGACTGTTGATGTGAACGCCATCGATGGTGGCTGGTTTGAGATCTCTCACAAGACCAAGTTCATCCCCGCTGATCCCGTCAACGGCCGGCCTGACGATGGCTATGTCGACACCATCATTCACGACAATGGAGACCATTTGGCGTACTTCACACCGTTGGATAACCCAGAACCCATCATGCTCACCTCCGGTGACTATGAAGTTGTCGATGCGCCATCTGCGGTTGACCTGCAAAGGAACCTCGTCTACTTTGTTTCTACAAAAGAATCCTCAATCCAACGACATGTTTACCAGGTCAAGCTGACCGGAGAGGACATGACACCGGTGACGGATACCTCCAAGGAGGGCTACTACGCCATCTCGTTCTCGACTGGTGCCGGATACGCCATGGTATCCTACCAGGGCCCAGACATTCCCTGGCAAAAGGTCATCAGCACCCCGAGCAACCCTGACAAGTACGAGTATGTCGTGGAAGAGAACAAAGACCTCGCCGAAGCCGCCAAGAAGCACGAACTTCCGATCAATATTTATGGCACCATCAACGTCGATGGCGTAGATCTCAACTACGTCGAGAGACGCCCGCCACACTTTGATAAGAACAAGAAGTACCCCGTGCTGTTCCAACAGTACAGTGGCCCCGTCTCTCAGACCGTCAAGAAGACCTTCGCCGTCGACTTCCAGTCCTTCGTGGCTGCCGGCCTCGGTTATATCTGCGTTACAGTCGACGGGCGCGGAACAGGGTTCATTGGGCGGAAGAACCGCGTCATTATCCGTGGCGACCTCGGTCACTGGGAATCGCACGACCAAATCGCCGCCGCGAAGCACTGGGCTCAGAAGGACTACATCGACGAAGACCGTCTCGCCATCTGGGGCTGGAGTTACGGCGGCTACATGACGCTCAAGACCCTTGAGCAGGATGCGGGACAGACCTTCAAGTACGGCATGGCCGTCGCCCCCGTCACCGACTGGCGCTTCTATGACAGCATCTACACGGAGCGATACATGCGCACGCCGCAGACGAACCTCGAGGGGTACGATTCAGCCGCCGTCACCAATGCTACCGCTCTGTCCCAGAATGTGCGCTTCCTGTTGATGCATGGTGTCGCCGATGACAATGTGCACATGCAGAACTCGCTCACGCTTTTGGACGCGCTTGATCAGCGGAGTGTGGAGAACTATGATGTCCATGTTTTCCCGGATAGCGATCATGGGATTTATTTCCATAATGCTAACCGGATTGTGTTTGATAGTGAGTACATCATGTGATACGGTTGAAAAGAGTGGAAAACGCTAACTGAGATACCTACCTACGCAGAACTGACGAACTGGCTTGTCAATGCCTTTAACGGCGAGTGGCTGAAGATCGCTAACGCGCAGCCTAATGGCATGAAGAAGCGTGCTGCTCCTACTGCTTGATCATGATGAGTAGTCTGCTGTTGAAGGTACAGAGTTGCTGCTCCATGCTTCTGGCGTTTGGGTGGACAAAGGAGGCGTTCTTTCTGGCTTGGTTGGTTATAAGCTGGTGGTCAGTTGTTCTTTGCATACAGTTTAGGATACGAGGAAATTGGAAGCATGTCTTATATATGCCTTCAAAGTTCTTTGACTCCTGTTGTTTCTTGGCTGCCTACAATCCACCCGGCTCCAAAAGCATGGCATCCGGGGGTGTGATTCCGCCAGTTCGGTCCAACCTATCCATTTAACTTGTTTCCGGCTTCTGTCCCATCAGGAATCCGAGCACTTCAGTGAAGAATAAGCGAATTCGCAGCTGATACTAGCGCGAGGAGGGATGATAAGTTGGTGGTTGGGGTGCTTCCCCAGACTTCCCAACGAGCGGAAGGAAGTAGTATTTCCCCACAAACCCGATCCGGATGTTCGGGACGTGATCCCCCTGTGGTATCGTCACATTGGCCATCTCAACTTCCCAGCTCCAGGGACGCGATCCCGACAAAATGGGATTACCTAGGTGTGGACGGTTCAGGATGCCGTCCGCCTAAATCAGCCGGGGAACGATATCCCGGAGCATAACATGTAGTAGATAGGTAGAAGAGCACGATGTATATATAACAAGCTTTCTCTCCCAATATAAACATCCAAGACTTTTACCTGCTAACTCAGAGTCCGTCCTGAGTACCTACCTATTCAAGGTTCCGGATCTCCTCCTGCGATCCATTCATACAAATGCACGCCTCCACAATCTTCGGCTTCCTGGCCGCAGCAGCCACCGCCGTGCTCGCCGTGCCCCATCCTCACAAAGAGAAAGCAGCAGTCAAATGCCCACTGATCTTCGACGGCCGCATCAAGTCCCGCACCCTGCCCACTGACTTCGACAGCTCCTCCACCTCCCTGTTCAATCCGGACAATGTCAAGGGGTCCAGCCTGAAATGGAGTCAAATCGTTAAGTTTCCCAAAGAGAAAGGAAGCCGGTTCGATAATTGCAGCCATAAACCGCTAGAGGTGACGATTAGTGATGAAAGTGTCTTTAAGACGCAGTATGGGTTTCGCAGGGCTGGGTTGATTTTTGCTGCGGAGTGAGTATACCCTGGTGTTCCTGGTGTTCTGGTGTGATACAGTGGTGAGAATTGAGGAAGACATAGGGGAAGGGGAGGGGAAAGGTGAAGGTGAAGGTGAATGGGGGAGGTTAGGGAATGGTTGGGTTGAGAGGATGGGACTTACGAGGATTCTAGCTAACGTTGAGACACAAAAACTAGTACAAACACCGGTAGTCCCGCCTCAAAAGGTGTCAAGACGCTGCACTTTAGTGTCAAACAGGATTTAAAGAGACCGTTGAATCTCACGCACGAATACCTTGTAAGTCCTTCCATGCCTCCTTTCCTTCTTCCTTTCACCCATCTTTCCCTACATCCCTTCAGCAGATCATGGTCGAACTAACTGGTATCTTTCCGTGAAGAACATCTGGCACGAAACCTCCGACTGGTCCGCCAACCAATTCAACTTCCAAACCGGCACCATCATCGGCCAGGATACCCGCAAGCTGCCAAAGAACACCTTCAAGATCATGAGCCGCGAGAACAAGCTTATCTGGCAGACGCCTATCGAGAAGAAGGAGTGGCAGAATTTTGCTATTACGTTGGATTTTAACAAGAAGTATGTCATTTTCTCCCAGGGCTGTCGTCTATCGAGAGTATGATACGGACTAACACACAAAAACAGTACCCTCCAAGTCTACTATTCCAAGGGCAATGAGCCTTTGCGCAGCGTCACCAAGGCGGTGCCGAATAACAATGCGGGAGAGGGCCAGTACCAGTTTGGTATTCTTAAGAAACCTACGGGCACTGATGATGTGGTAAATAAGGGGTATCAGGAAAGTGGGATTGATGAAGGGCAGATTTATGGTGGAATTTTCATTGAGGATAGTGCAGGTGGGTGTGTCTCTTTGTAGGTCTTGGCTGGATTGGATAATATTGGAACGGGAAGAGAGAATAGCTTGAGAAGACATTGATTCTGGAGCTCAAGATACATATTTTCTTGTCCTTCTACCTTTGTGACAATGGACTTGATATCGTACTGGGGAGATGTCCCTCTTTCCGTGTCCCGATCGATACCTCTCGACAACTCCCAGTCCGTGGAACAATTATTATATCCCGAGCAAGCAAGGAAGCAAGCAAGCAATTGCCTAGCTCCTTTTCCTGCTCCCTTTCCTATAAACCGACCACACAGACTCAAAAGCCCCATAGAAACACCACATCATCACCCCGACTCAGAACTCCGATAAGCCGGCACCGAAAAGTTCTCCGGCCCCTCATACACCTGATGCCGAAACATATCATCCCCCATCATCGGCATACAGTCCGGTGTGACTTTGTACACGGCCGTGTCTGTCACCTTGTCGTTTATCCGCCGCACAATCAACAATGCTCCGCTCCCGTCCGGTTGCTCGGTCCATTTGAAGGAGACACCTGGTCCTGTTGTGTTGTTGTTGTTTTGCTGATTGTTGTTGGTATCATTTCCGTACCCGCTCCCGCTCCCGTCACCTGGGCTTGGACCTGTCGGACAGAACGTCTGCGGAATGCTGGTTAACTGGTGATTGATGGTTGTGCCTAGTGCTTCGCAGTGAATGGGGACGGCTTCGTGGTAGAAGGTTACGTCGAATTTGTAGCTGGATGGAGTGGGTTTCGGGAGGTTAGCGGATTTGTTCGTGTAGAATAATAGATATAAGAAGAGAAGTGGAGGGTGAACTGTGGACTGAGCACAATACTTACAAATTTCGGTTACTGAGGACCATGGCCGATGCCTCGAAATTGGTGACATTGAAGGGCGGGACTTGGTTCAGGTCATGACCGTCATCGAGAACGACCAGGGTAGGGCTTGCATGTGTGGTGACACTGGCGGCGCACAGGAGGAGGAGATATAGCAGTTGGATATGCATCGTTCCTCGAAACACTTTCGGTAGAGTGGTTCTTTGATATCAGCCTGAGGAGGTCGTCTTTGAGAGCACCAAGCTGTTGTGAGGTTATACAGATGGTAGGCAGAGGAGTGAAGTCGCTCAGAACGAATGTATCGGGTCGGCGGTGATATGTTCACACTATGAACTAGGAAAGAACTCCCAGGCTTCTTGGGGTTCGTCTGCTGATATAGTAGTCGACGTTCTCCATGATGAGAAGCACATGGGACAGAGCCCTGTTACAAGCCGCATCATCACCTTGATGCCACTGATAGAACTTTCCAAGTGCAACTCCGGACAAAACGGAGGAAGGTACGAAGGTCAAAGACCGATATTTTGGGTCCTTCAAGAATATGTTATTTAACCTCCATGTTACGCAAGACATGTTTGGGCAACAGAGTCTCTGACATCGATTGCAGCTAACTCACCCACTTCCTTTTATAACATCATATTTTTGGATACTGAGTCCCTGAAATAGCTGATACCGGTCGTCTTTTAGACGTGGGCGGATCCCACACCCGACACCAAACTCCGTCATGTCTTCATCTTTTTTGTTCGGCGTACGACGAGGCTCACGAAGCTGTCTCCTGCGCCTTGGTATAACTGCAACAACGGATGATATGTTTTGCTTGGTGTTGTATACCTTATGTTCTGCGCTGAAGAAGTCGAGGCAACCAACGGGAAGCTTGTGCATACCTAACCATCGGAGCACAGCACCAGATGGGATATTTTCTCCGTGCTGCTTCTTGGATTGGACCAGCCTTTGCAGGAGAGACTCACGACATTGAGCCGGATTGCTGGGGCGGGCCGTCAAACGGTCAACGAGAGATAACCAAGTTCTAAACGATATAAATCCCATATTAGTTCGATCCCAACAGGCGAATTGGTTTGTAAACCATCCCTATGTTGGATGTCGGTACAAGCGTAGAGGTAGGGATGTTCTTGCCGTCCACGTCGGCTTGTTTGGTGCAGCCCAACGGCAGAGGTACACAACATGAGGAAGTTGCTATTTAGCTCTGGTATATTGGCCTTGACGGGCACGGCTAGATCGCTCGTTGGGTTTTCCTTTGACGTATACCTCTAGTGGTACATACAGGAACCTCGGAGTACGGTATGATAGTCCATAAGTGAGTTGTCTGTTGGATATTTATTGCACCTTCCATTCCGACTGAGGACGGGACCGAATGGAAAGTGCAGCCAACACGCAGCACATGCAGCCGTTTACACCACGGCATCCAATGCACCAAGTCCAAGACTGCAGCAGGTAGCCTTCAAACCCCGTCGTCGCCAACTCGATCAACACCCAATGGACGGTCCATGGGTGCCTGGGCTTCGATGGCTTTCCCTCTGGCGGACTGAAACACCCAATCCCATTTCCTTGTTCCGTTGCCCTGGAAAGCGAGATAACCCTCTATCGGTTGTGCATAGCCGTTGCTCTTTAAAAGCCTGATCGCTCCCTCATACCATTGAGTTTGAACTCTTTCTGAATTCATCCCATTCACCATTCTACCTATCCACCCTCCGAGGACGTTGCTCGTTCGGGTCAGGGGGCAGACTGGAAGACGGAATCCCGACAAGCCAACAGCACCGGAAGACACCGGACGGTTCAGCCCCACTCGTCTGACCGGCGGGGGGCTCGGACACGGCCACTTCGGGCAGCTAGCGCCTGGCAACGCTCCAAACCAGCACAGGCCCAGGGGCTTTTCACAAGGAACGCCGCGACACTGGGGGAGTCAGCTAGCGTCAACCCACCCCCTATTCTGGAACATCACCATTTTCGGTTCCTGACTTTCAAAACACGGCCCGCGAGGATCCTGCTCGGTCCAAGATTGGATATCTTCTACCATTCATCTCTCTAAAACCTCCAAACGAACATCTCTATTGTGGCTTTCGAATTGCTTCCAGGGCTTTGACGGCTACTGTCTCTTCTCCATACAAAAAGAGTGAAGGGGTACGTACAAACCATCTTCTGGAAAACCCCCCCTCCCGTCCCCTTTTGTCCCCTCTGTCCCCATTCCCATCGTGGCATCGCCCCGCCATGCTCGCGTAACAGCAATAAAAAAAAAGGACCTCTGCAGCCTGCCCCTTATCGTTAGGTACATTCAGCATTTGCACATGCTGGCCCAATGCATTCCCTTTTTTTTAGTGGCTGAGCCCAGCAATGTTTTATTTTGATTCGCCCTAATGTCTGACCTCCGTGTTCTTGCCAGATCTCATCATCGCAGCCCTCCCACCGCAACTTCAACGGAAACGCGTTTCCTATCCTCGAACCCATTCTTGCCTCACGCAACACCAACTTGGCACTCGAAACGCCGTACGACTACCTACAACCTCACCTACTCTACGGACACAGTCACAATGTCGCGAATTTCGATTCCCATAGACGTCCTGACGTCTCGCCTCAACATGGGCGAGCGTTTCCAGAACTTCCGTTCGGGCTCGATTGCTAACCGCTTCTCGAACCTGCGCCCTCTCTCCGAGTTCTTCGATTTCAAGCGCCTCTCCAAGCCCCAAAACTTTGCCGAGATGCAGTCCCGCGTCAACTACAACCTGGGCCACTTCTCCAGCAATTATGCCGTCGTGTTCGTGATGCTCTGCATCTACGCCTTGCTCACCAACCCTTGGCTGCTCTTCGACATCGTCTTCGTCGTTGCCGGCATGTGGTTCATCGGCAAGCTCGACGGCCGTGATCTCGAGATTGGCCAGCACCGCTTCACCACTTCGCAGCTGTACACGGGATTGTACGTCGTTGCCATCCCGATCGGTCTTTTCTCTTCGCCCTTCCTCACTGTCATGTGGTTGATTGGCGCCAGCGGCTTGGTCATCATTGGCCATGCTTCGCTTATGGACAAGCCCATCGATGAGGCTTTTTCCGGGGAGGCGGTCTAAATGGTCGGCCGCGAGCTCCCAAATCTGCGCCCCAATGGGGAAGACCATCGAGGCGCGAGCGGGCGCGCAACGGGAGTGATGATGCTGAGGGTAGTTGGTGGAGTTCTGGGCGTGTGGTGGAGGAACTGGATAGCGATGACGGCGGCAATAATACTACACAAGGCGTTGGGTCAGGGTTGGTTTCAAAAGTTTCGGGTAATAGATTTGCTAGCGATCCCCTCCGGTTCACGGGTATCGACATGGGCAAGAAAGACGGTGGTGGCGCGAGGTTGCGGGGAAAACACATGTCTATGGGGGAGGACACGACAGACGAGGATTCGGAGAACTCGGCGAGCGATGAGGAGAACAGTGTCCACCTCGAATCTGCCCTAGCACGAATTCGCCGGGCTCAGGCAAAGGGCAAGGCCGACGTCAAGCTGACAAAGGACGAACTGGCAGCTTTCGAACGGCATCAACGACGCCAGAATGGCGAAGAGCGGAAGAAAAAGGAAAAGCGGATCGCGGTGCCGCTAGGTGCTCTCGCTCAAATCGAGGCACCTCGGAGCTCCTCTCGTGGGGAACATTCGCGAACCCCGCGGGAACAGTCACCAGTTCCTCCGGCACGTCTTCCCAGCGGCGGGTCAACAACTGCCGCCGAGAGAGAGCAAAGCTCCTCGCCTTTTAGTTATTCGTACGTCAAAGATCAACCCGGCTCCATTCGGCGTTCTCGCGATTCTCCTTCCTACGGCGACATATCTCCCGGAGCCTCGGGCAGTTCTCCCCACCACGATGTTTCACGGCAAGCTTCTTCAAGTGGAAGCGGAGTACCTGATCCCTTCCAGTACTTGCATCCCGCTGGTGGTACCACTCGCCCCACGTACACAGGCGACTACAGGAGTCGGACATCAACATCAGACAGACATCGGACTACTAGCGATGACTACTCGGCGGGCGAGGAGGACAGGCACAGGCATTCATCAAGGATCGGCAGCAGCAGTTCCGCCGGGAGGAGCACCAGCCATTATGACCGATCGGAGCGTGCGAGAGAACGACGGGTCGCTGAGGAGCAAGCATATGACATCTCTTCTTCATCGAGAAGAACGTCTGGTGGGGACCTGCCCTCAATTGTCAAGCGGAAGGAGATGTTGGCTGGTAGTTCTTCGAAGTCATCATCTTCTTCCAAGCGAAGAAGTCGTGGTTGAGAATGGTTAGTTGTTTACTTGGGACTTTCAAGTTATGGATGGGTATGGTTTGCACTCGGACATGGGCAAAACAAAAGAAACAGGAGACTGGCTGGCTAGACGTCTTGTGGGTGTGTTTGTTGCGTCGATAGATATAGTAGTTTGTCGTTCTTAATATTTATTCTCCTATTCACGCTTTCAGTCCACTGCTTGGAAACCTCGTGATGCTGATTTCGATCAAACCCACCATGGAGTGTGATGCAGAACGTAATTGTTGCTCCATAACTTGTCCAAGACCGCCCGGGGCCACCAACTACCAAAAAAAATAAGAAAGTGAAAAGAGACATCTGCCATGTCTCGTACCTCGTCTTGCTCATGTATCACATACCCAAAAAAAGAAGAAACTGGGCCGCCCGGCCCGCAAAACGCCCAAAACACCCAAACACTCAGAGACATGTCCACCCTTGTCCTTGTCAGTCAATAAGCCTTCCTCCGTCCTAATCCGACAACATCTTCAACACACTCTTCAACCCTGCCTGCCAGTTTAAGCCCCCTCCAGGCCCATCAAACACGCTATCCCTCTCCATCGTCCTCTTTTCCCACACTGCATCCCCTCTCCTCCCTCTCTCCACCTTTGTCGTATTAAACCCCCGTGCCATCGCATTTCCCATCATCGCCGCCGCCGCCCCAGCACCCGCTGCTTTCCCACTACCACCACCACCACCACCACCAAGCCCAATCCCATCCCTCGCCAACCTCGCCACCTCTCCTACAGCCCCCAGCGAGTCGCCAGCGCTGTACTTCGCCGCCAGAGCCAGCAATCTATCAACGATTTTCGGCAGCCTGATGCCCAGCTTAGCCAGCAAACCCGTCAACGCGCCGCCGGTGATGAGCGGCATGATGGCGAGCATAAAGACTTTCATCGGGTGCCGCTGGGCGTAGTAGGCCAGGTCGCGGAGGAGACGTTTGAGTTTTTTGAGCAGTTTTTTGATGAGGCGGGGGCGGGGGGAGCGTTTGTAGAAGGAGGAGGAGGAGGATGAGGAGCGGCCTATTTGGGGGGTTTGTTAGTATGGAAGCGGGAGTTGAAAAGAGAGAGGGTGGAGAAGAAAGAAAGAAAGACAGGAGGAGAAGAAAGGTAAATACGTACGGAACTTGGCAAAGAATGAACTACGTCTGCCACCTGAGGAAGAAGAGGACTTAAAAAACGATGGCCGTTTGGGGGGTTTATCCGGTCTGTGACTGCTGCGCGGGGTGCCGCCACCAACACCACCGCCGCCGAAAGTGTCGAGAAGTCGGCTGCTGTTGTGTCGACTGAGAGAGAAGTAGTCCCGCGGAGCCTGTCCGTCGTCCACGCCGCCGCCGCGGGACTTGGGAGTCTTGAGAGATGAGCGCCGTGGCTTGTCAAAGTCGGAGTCGGAGTCGGTTCCGTATCCCATGCCGTCGAGATCGTCGTCGTCGCCGAGAAGAAGAGAGGCTAGGAAGTTGACTAGGCCTCCTCCTCCTCCTTCTGATGTTCCTTGTCCTCCTGGATGAGGTCCATATCCTGCTTCGGGCCCTCCTCTCGGAACTACTGCCCTTTCTTCGCCTCTATAACTCTCTTGCCTCTCAGCTCTATAACTCTCCTGCCTACGGGCCCTTCTCCCACTGCTGTCACTGGCATCTGGGGCAGAAAAAAGGGCTCGTGATGGCGGTGGTGATTGCTCTCGTTCTCGCTCCCGTTCACGGTCCCTCATCTCTCGTTCTCGTTGGCGCTCCAGTTCCCGTTCCCGCTCTCTAGATTCCCGTTCCCATTCCGAATCCCGCCTTTTAAGCTCTCGGTCTCGGTCCTTGGTTTCGATTTGTTCCTTGCTCTTTCGGGAGGACGAGGATCGATGCGAGGGCTTTGGCCTTTTCGATTTGGATGAACGGCTGGAGAACATTGAACCCTCGCCGAAGAGACCCATGTTGGCAAGGGGTTGGGTTTAATTTGTTATGTGTGTTTTTTCGTTGAGCTGCAGTGCTGTGCTGCTTTTAAACAAAATATGAATGAAATAGCGTTGTTCTCGTCTTAGTCTTCTTCAACCGGATTGCTGGTAAAGGGTTTGATGGTTCGAGAAAAAGATAGGATTGCTTCCACGCAGGTCCGGGCCGTTTAGGTTCGTTCTGGAAGCGGAGGAAAATGGGACTCTCTTTTCGACCAACAGGATGCGGTTTGACGTGTCCGGGGAATAGAAGGGTGGGAAGAATGTTGTGAGCTGAATTTCCCCTTTCAGGAGCCGAAATCTGCACGGTGATTGACAGCTAACACAGACATATGTATCCGCTGTTTCTTGAATTGCTGCCGTGGCACGTCTTGAACGCGTTGTCACCACACTTCAAGAGTCGTTCGCCCTTGTCGTATGTATAAGTGAACGGTAGGAGGATAAAATGAAACACGGTTGAGATTGGAGAGGGGATTGGTTCTCGAAACCTATCAATGCCTTTGCCAGCCCAAACAGTCCCGACGTGCCCAAGGAAGGTAGCCCTATGGACACCAGCCCATAATTCAACCCTGTTCACGTCAGTTTCTGTTTTCTCACCGCTGGAAATTCATGAGGCTGGGCTCGCTGGGGCTCGTTGAGGTCTGCGACTGGACGCCAAGCCTCGAGACTGTCCTTGGGACCGCAGGACCGTCTACCCCTGAAATTATCACCCTTGTCACAGTTGGGATCTCGGGCTCGGCACCCATGGCACCAACAGCCCTGGGCAGAGTCTGAGCCCAGCATTGGATGGAAATCGGCGAGTGGGGATTTTAGCGGTCACAGTGAAGCGGGGAGCCGGGGACGATAGTTTTGGAGAAGCGAGCCCTCGACATCATCGAGGAGGAGGATGTTCAATGAGAGTGAAGCCACCATGGACTGAGGAGTTTTATAAGTCACCATGGACTGAGGAGTTTTATAAGTCATGTGTTGCTAATTGACACTGGGGAGTTTGATATAGAATGATAAAGATGAAAAGCGTTAAGTGAGATATGGGATGTGTTGGATGCTGTGTCGCAAAATCTCGAACAAACAAGGTCGGGAGAACTTCCACTTCGATGGAAACTGAGAAGCTCGCCTGCGATAAGTGATGTCAACTGAACTCAACAGCGGACGGTGGGGTAGCCTGTACCTGATAAGCCGCACGTGGCACAGTCACAAATTGTAGAGGTGCAGTGTCTAAGCTACAGTACCGTAATGCTTTGTTTCGCCGAGTTCCTTTCACTTCACTCACGGCTTCCATTTTCTTTGCAAAATGTTTCACTTTGTCATGTAACGCTGGAAAATACGCTGAGCCCAACAGCACATGTAAAGCTTGCGTCGAGGCAGGTACGACTGTACTGCGTTCAAAGGCTCCAGAGGGCATTCACTGAAAGCTCGAGACTGCTGTCCTGCCCTGCAGGGGTCGGATGAAAGCGCGGGGCATGGACCTCTGGCAGGCATGGAACTTGGCTGAAGCTTCCACATCTGTGTTGTCATCGCCTGGCTTCCACTCGTTGATTCTGCAACTTGCAACACCCCATCATCACAAGCTCCCTTATTCTACCACTTCGCCGTTTCTCAGAGTATCAATCAAAATGTCGCGGTCCGCACGCGAAATCTCGAGCCCAGCGGAATGGAGTACCGTAGTTGAAGGCACGAAAGTATGCGTGGTACTATGTACGTTCTATATACTCCTACCCCAGTCGCTCGAGGAAGCGGTTCCCCCGTCATGAATCGCATCCTCTGTTGATATCCAACTCCGCCGCTGCTCACCATACCATCACTCTCGACGGCTGAGCATGAAATCACGGAGGCACTCTCTCGCCATGCATCCACGTTCCTTTTCCGCACGCTTCCCCTCCCTGGTGGTGCGTGGTTCGTCAATAACAACTTGCTGACACGGTCTCCTCCCAGTTTACTCCCCCAGTAATGCGGCCTCGTTGGAAGCTATTCACATCCTCGAACACCACTCCCAAGGCCTCGAAGGACGCGGCACGGTCTTGGAGCTCGCAAAGGTCAACGTGGACGAGGTGAAGGCGATCAAGAGTGCCTACAGCATCACAAAACTCCCGACAACCATGCTCTTCCGGAACGGCAAGGAAGTCGACAAGGTGTCCGGCGACAATATCCCGAGACTGACGCAACTGATCGAGAAAGTCAAACAGGCTGTTGACTCGGAAACGACCAAAAAGGCAAGCGGGAGTGCCAACAGCTGGAAGGGTGCCGCACTTCCCCGCGGATACGTGGATATCACCGATCAGGTCGAGCTCAACCGGTCCGAACTTTTGAACTTCGATACAGAGACCGGTGGCGTCCGGGCGCTTTTGTCGAGCGAAAAGCCAAGTGCTTTGTCTGGAGGCAAAGCAACCGCGAAGGATTGGGTAGAAAGTGACACCGACGATCAACTGCTGCTCTTCATGCCCTTCCAGTCTATGTTGAAGTTGCATACTCTCCAGGTTGGTCACGCCAGAACTTTAAGTGCATCGAATTATACGACTAACATGACTCTACCAGATCACCTCCCTTCCTCCCACTGATGACGACGACGACGAGGCACCCATGAGGCCGAAGACGATCAAGCTTTTTGTCAACAAGTCGCACAATCTCGGGTTCGATGAGGCTGAGGATCTCCAAGCTACGCAGGATATCGAGCTGTCAGAGAGTGACTGGAACAAGGAGGGAACTGCCAGCATTCCTCTGCGTTACGTCCGTTTCCAAAACATCGACAGCTTAGTTCTGTTTGTTGTCAATGGCGACGGTGATAGCGAGAAGGTCAGGATTGATAGGCTGAGGCTCATTGGAGAGTCAGGATCAGCCAGAGATATGGGCAAACTGGAGAAGGTTGGTGATCTCCCGGGCGAGTAGATGGGGTTTTCGATGAGGCATGGTCCTGCTCTTAGCATGCCGCACTACAGGTCGGTTAGAGCGTGAGATATTCACCATTCAGATACCACTAATATCAGGCAGCAGGCGTTTTATTGTGCCATAGAAGACGAACATCGCATTGCAAAACATCCAGTCCCATATCCAAAATATGTGCGTTACTACTCGCAAACCTGCATGCCATCGTGCTAGAGGCATAGTCTTATATATAGCAAGCCGTTGTACGCACAGCATCACGATCCTGAATGGACGGATGCACAACATCATGACGGTACAAGAAACGTGTAAATTCACACAGCCGTGGTCGACCACAGCACCCTGCGATAGCCGAAGATGAGACGTACAATCAACACGGTGACATCAATCCAGTCGCAGAGCTGGTCTTACGACTATGCTCGCAATTACCAGCATGACATCAACGGTTGTTTACACTTTAGAAGTCAAATAAAGTAGCCCCAGATAAGAATGTCCGATCTCTTCATCACCATCCAGCCCTGAAAAGGGTTGTTTCTCGATGGACTGACTGACAAGGAGATCGGCTTGCAATTAATTGATCTAGGCCACGACTGACGCGACGTTTTCACAGAATCTCCCGAGGGAGATGAAAACGAAGCAACACGGGTAATGTTTTGAATGAGTCGTGACCGCCGCACGAAGAAAAAAAAAAGAGAAAAAGGGAAGGAAAAGAAAGGTCGGTTGGAGGTCTTGATAAAGCAAAATTTTAGTGGAGTGCCTGGGACAGCTTAGTCAGGATTATTGCTCCACAGGTTTAGGATTTGAGGTGGGCTCAACCCGTCGGGCCAATTAATATCCTTCCTGGTCTATGAGATGCTGGCAGCTGGCAGAGCATCCGGCCCACTCACCTTTCGCCGGTCTTGGACTCTTGGCATACATGTTCCGCCGTAGCAGTCTGCGGTCAGGCAACCTTATGTCACAAAGTCCGAGTCGACTTCTAGAAAGTTGACGCCGTCCCAGGAGCCAGACTCCCAGCACCAACCGACCACACACTGTCAGCGCCGCTTCCAACTACCTACCCACTCCCACCAGTGAAGTTTCGGTTGCTTCAATATCGTTGGCGGGAATTGGAGTCGTCCTGGTGATGTCTCTTGTCTTGTGTGACCCCTCCTCGACGTCGAGTCCTTCGGTCTTCACAGCCAGTGAGCGAGGCAATTCAGGTCCTTGGGGCCCTGACAAGCCTGACAAGCCTGACCGAAGCAGAAGCTGAACTCTTGATTGCTCACATATGGGATAGTTTGTTACAGCGCAAGACGACGGGCCACATCATCTCGGGCTCGGTTTCCCTTTTCCTCGCCTATTGTCTTTGAAACTCTACACATGGGGCATTGCTCCGTATAGAGTGGCATCGTTTGCGCTCGAATGTCCCAGCCGAGGGAAGCACGTGTGGCCGGTGTGCTCGTTCCGCCCAGCATAACATCGTCTGTCAGCTAACACATATTGTCGCCCACGCCCCGAGCCTCCAAGTCCGCCGGTTGATATGAGGAAAGATTATGCGAAACAGGCATGCGAGGATCCATCGGCACACCAGCGTTTTGGCCATCGCATAACCGTAATGACTGATCGTCGTCTCCCACCTCGTCTCGTGTGCGTGGGGTGGGTTTTCGAAAGGGACAGCCTTTGTCGTCTCGCTGAACTCAAGCCATGCTACGAGCTGATCCATGGATCCCCGTGTTACCCACCGGATGTCCTACCAATTCCGCAACAATGTCAACAATTATTGGATATTGAGCACGGCGCAAAGAGAAAGAGGCGTTCACATCGGAATTGACGCATGCTATACGATATTCCGAATAACACAATGGCATATTCGCCGCAACTAGTTCCTACGCCTCGTCGGTTTCTACTTCATCAAGTTCTCCAGCCCGAAATCAGCACTAACAACTGTGCCTGTCATCCTCTCCTTGGTTGGGAACCCGGAACTGGCATTCTCAAACCGCAAAAGCTTCAGGAGTCTGGCTGTCGACTTTCATGCCATCTACAAGTAAGAATCCATTCATTCGCTACTAGTTCTACTGAGCTATAAGCTCTAGCAACCAAATCAAGTAAACCCCCACTTCCCTCAACGTCGTCTCGTCGAAACACTACGTACGTGTCTGGTCCAGCCGCTTGACCCCTACCCCTCGGCTCCAACACCACAGCGTAAACTGCAACTCTGTTTCGACGGCACGTTACCATGGCTCCAAGATCGGTAGCGTGGATACTAATGAATTGAAACGCTGCAGGCATAGAAGGCGGTCCCTATATGCTAAGAATAGCTCATACCAGTCCCTAGTCATGTATCGTCCGTCTGCTTGTCCACTACTAACTAACCCAGTATTTCTTCTGAATCGACTCCCCTTACAGGCAAGTTCGCAATCACCTGTCTGCCACCGCGCTGTCAAAGGACCCCTCCAGTACGGGGTACCCTTTCATCCCGCTTCTAGGTCACCGAGACCTGTCCGAACAGCAGCACATTTCGATTCCCAATGGCCAAAGGTCTGGATATCGTGGATCCCGTCCTGATTCAAGGTATGACATGAACATGACAAACCTCGACAGTCCCTAGCGGCAACCGGCGGGTCGTCAGACGATTCTTGAATCACCACCCGTCAGGTTGGTGCCTGTTCCAGGCAGTCCACGGCCAGTCTAGTGTTAGAGCGTCCTCCTTGCCGAAGGTCTCGCCTCTCACATCCTAATGTGCTTGCTCCAGTTAAAGGCACGCCTTACCGAGTAGAGCAACTCGCATAGCCAATGTCTCCTAGCGTTGGGCAAGTCCTGCTCTTCCTTGTTCCTAACAAATTTCCTACAACGTTTGCGCACTTGGATGTTGGCTTGCCTGGCACGCCTGGTTAGCTTTAAATTGTCTCAAGCCTGACGGTCGGTTCGTCACTGAAAATAGCTTGTCAAGTGACGGAGCTGAAGCTCACAGGTACGGGGCGAACCAAAACCTTACCTTAGACCATATGTATCCGATCCTTCGACGCATCTTTACACTCGTATCGACTTCCTCTTTCCTCTTAGCCACTTGACCATATCAAGATTAGATGACGTGATACAAAGCCCTTGTTTACGGCTTGTGACTTTCTTGATTCGCTGCTGCTAGGGCTAGTCATTAACTAGGAGATATAAGGGTTCCACGTCTTTGACACCTTACTGTGGTAAATTCCCCTCGCTATCCAGGGCCACGTTGTCGTGGCCAGTTCGTCAGCCTGTTAATAAGTGGTGGTACAGACTTGATCGGAACACATCGAAAACCGCATTTAAGACCTTTCCGCTTCTCGAGTTACTCATCCCTTTCGAGTGCCAGTTCGAATACCTGCGTTGAAAGATCGTGGAGAGCGTGACCAAGCGATATCTGTCTAGGAGGGTTCAAGAGCGACCTCACTATCACCATTTCGCAAGACGGAATACAACACGACGAATCCTGTGGGTTGGACTTATCTTCCAGTCGAGGGCCGCAGGACATCCAACAGCAACACATCAGCACGATACGAGTAAACAGCGCCTCACCATGCATTATGATCATCACGGCGCCCATCAGTGCTGCCCAGTCAACTCGATGAACAAGTTTACCAACTTCCGACGGCTACCGGCCGAGTTGCGAAACATCATATGGGAGTTCTCTTTGCCAGAGTCACGGGTTTATGAGGTTCTAGATGCACCAAACTCGAAGCAAAAGACCCCACCCCATGAAGGTTTGATGTTCGCCAACATTCATCCTGAACCCCCGCCGGCCTTAGCGGCTGTGTGTCGTGAGAGTCGATCTTTTGTTCTTCACAACTACAAGCCTCTGACATTAGGGAGGACAACCAAATACGTCGATCTGTCTCGAGATGTCCTCCTTCTTGAACCGTACCTACTCGTTAAGCGGCTTCACCGAACTCTCCATTTCATGACCCAGATTCCGCTACTTCGAGACAATATCAACCGCCTCGCGCTCGGAACATCCTTTGGCATCTACACGGGCATCTGCCACCCAGTGTTGAGCTGGAAGGTATCCAAGACCAACATGGGAAAGTTGCTCACCAACCTGGCCAAGTTTCCACGACTCAAGGTCCTCATCTTTATCGTTCACCAGGAATTTCAATTTGAGTTCGACTTCCGATTCCCCGGCACCATGACCCCCGTCCCGAACCATCCGCTTCAACACTCCGTCTCAACCACTCTGCAACCTCTCTTCACGACCGGGCCCAGCGCCACCGGGTTTCCGTCTCCCATGACCAGCGGTAGCAGCAGCATCATCTCACCGTCAAGGTCATCATCAAGCAATCCCATCCCTACGCTCGCTGAACCAGCCAGCAATGGTCTCCATTTTGATTCTTCCTCCACTGTCAGCAATAGTTGCCACGGCGGCGGCAGCAATAAGAACAACATGGCAACCCGCAACAGTGGTGGCCTCTACACATCACCATACTCGTCACCGTTGGCATTTCCGTCTCTCCCACCGCCGCCGCTACTATATCCATATCATCATCAACAACCAAACACAGCCCACAACCTACCACCACCGCTCCTCCCCCTTCCTTTACTCCTTCAACAGCAACATCAACAGCAACAGCCTCAACCGCCTCCTCAACCACAACCACAACGTCCCCAACTAGTCCACCAAGCCTACCGCTTCAAATTCGACATCGAAGCCAACATCAACCATGCTCCTCGACGCCCGCATCTTAACGAGCTGCTTTACTACCCGCTGGACAAGGAGGTCGAGCAAGAGGACAAAGAAGATGATGGTGATGACGGGGAGAGTTTCGATTATTACAATTTCGCCGGGAGTGGGAGCGGAGGAAGCAATAGCAGCAATAGCGGCAACGGCAACGACAACAGCAACGGCAATCCAGGATGGACCAACAACACCTACGATGAAGATTCAACGGGAGATGTACGAGTAGGAGGGAGAGTTGGCAGTGGAGGCAGCGGAGGCGAATGGTCCGACCCCTGGCCGACCAACGACGACTGGCGACGGTTTCGCAGAAGGTTCCAAAAGGCTGTTCGACAGAGTTTGGAGGTTATGGAACGGAACAGGTTGGCTTGTTTGGCTGCGGCAGAAGAAGCTGCTGCTGAGGTAGCAGCGGCGGATGGAGATGGAAAACAACAACAACAGACAGCAACAGCAACAGCAACAGCAACAGCAACAACAACAATCTGGGAAAGGTGGAAAGGGAGCCAATATTAGTGGTCGGGGCAAGAGGTCCGGAAAGGGGACGACAGCGACAGCGACGGCGGTAAAAGCTTCTGAAAAAAGCGGCGGCGGTAACGGTCGTGCTAGCAGGGAGGCGGAGTGGGAATGGGAGAGACAAAGGGAAAGAGAAAGGGATCCGTTGCGGCCAGGATTCGAGAGAGGGAGGATAGGGAAGCATGCTACTAGGATTCAAGTACCGGCTATCAAAGGGGCGAGTTTGCTTTGGAGGTATACAAGGGGCGGGTATGTGTGACTGTTTACAGTTGTATGTTGGGTACCGTGGGAGAAGGAAAGGGAGAGAGATGGGAGTGATTTGTGTTGTTTGACAAAAGTTGTGACCTGAGAGATAACGGCCGTTGGAAATCGTGATGGAAGTCTCGCTCTGGCTGGGTACGGCGTTTGACGGTTTTGTTCACGGGGGAACATCTCATTATACTCCTCTGTTATTTTTGGTACCATTAGAGGATAGGGGTTATTCCTTTCGGAAGGACGACTTGACAGGCTCGGTATGGTAGGTGCAACGGTTTTGACATGGATTGGTTATCCAAGTTCTGCATTGAGTTAAAGTAGATATTACTCTTCGCTCTTCACTAGAATCTGCAACTATCAACAACATCATCATCCACGTTTCGCCATGCGCACAGGTGAAGTTTCCGGTCAGTGTCTCTGGTCGGTCTCTCTTGAAACTCACCAAGTTCACATACATGATGATTAGGTAACTACGGTACCTCTAGTCGGTTCCACGTTCACCTACGTGTAAGGACAAAGATGGAGTAAAGTTGAGTACCCCCACCGGGCAAAACTATTTATATCTTGTACCAGGAGGTTGGGGCACTCTGCCGGCAAAATGTGCTCACAGACCCAACACATATACGGTATTCCGCTCTCGAGACAGTACAGCGGGGAGATCCGGCACGGCATGATGACGCGGGACGGTATTGACCGGAAGCAAAAAAGATAAGCGAGAGAAAACCGAAAGCCTGGGTGTCGGGCCTGGAGAGGTAGGGAAGACTGAGCTTGGTTGCGTCCGAGATAGGTAGTGGTCATGATGCTTGATGCGGATCAAGGCAGGAATAAGGTCAAGTCTTTCTTACCAGGGAGATTGATGGTGTTGCGGATGGAATTCCTCGGGGACTCGGTAACCTGGTTGGTACACTTCGCCATTGCTCGAGAAAGGCTGACTACTCCCGGACGTTTCTGACAACTTCCATGACCAATGGCGAAGCAATATTACCACCGAAATGTATCCGAGTATCCCAAGGACCGAATTACTCAAAAGCGAGACGACAATTCCCGGTGAACGATGCGAAAGAAGGTGTAAGTTGGTTGCTTACCTACTACTTGTACGTGGAACCTTCCGAATCCGGCAAGTGGTTGAATGACAAGGATGAGGATATCATGTCCATACAATCAATCCTCGCATTAGGACAGAAATTGACTGCATTTAATTTGGTAGCGTTACACGGCTCATGCCATATGCGTAACAAGTGAAGTAGTTACAACATGGTTGCTAAAAGATAAATGAGGAGACATCGAAATGTCGAGTGGGCGACCATCCCTTGGACATGTCTTCATATAGAACCCTGAGAGTTCAGACATTCCTCGGCTTAAACCCAAGCAATGGTCTGCCATATGTAACCCTAGAAGATCCACTGCTTTGGACAAGAGGCCAATAGAAATTGTGCCTCGCTGACAAAAGCTGGGTACATGACAGTTGGTGGCAACTGCCAGCCAGAGGTGCCTCGATAGCTTAAGTCTCTCGCCTTAGACCTAGTCTAGGTAGCATTGTTCACACTTCACCCGGTTTGCATCTCGACTCTTTCTCTTTTCAAAGTGTCATCAGTCATCACAACTATGCTTACAGTCACAATTTCCCCATAGTATTGCCGTCTTCTTACTGGTTCCTTGCAATCATTTTGTTCAATTTCGAGGACTGAGAGGACTGTGTCTGAGTGTCGCCCTCAAGGCCAAAGCACTAGATACATATCCAATTCGCTCTCACATCTCGGATACCCTACCCGTACTACTTACGCTTCCTCTTGAGATGTATCCCAACGCATCCGCGCGTGGGGAAGGACCTCCCAGAAACCGGAGACTATCGGTAGAGCAAGCCAGCGAGCACACCCCGTTGCTGGCAGCTGGAGATATCGCCCCAACCGCGGACCCCGAAATTTCCGAGGCCACTACGCTCATAGACGAGCAATCATCGAGCAGCAGCAACAATAATGTCGACCCAGACGACAAGCCTCTCCCCGTGGCCCAAATTCTTGTGTTGTGCTATGCGCGATGGGTCGAGCCCGTGGCCTTCTTCTCCATCTTCCCATACATCAACAAGATGGCTCAGGAAAACGGCAACCTGGCCGACGCCGACGTGGGTTTCTACAGCGGCCTGATCGAGTCACTGTTCTCCTTGACGCAGATGACGGTCATGATTCTGTGGGGAAGGGCGGCGGATCGGTTCGGGAGGAAGCCGGTGCTGGCGTTCTCGCTGATAGGCGTCACGCTTGCGACAGCCATGTTTGGCATGGCCAAGACCATCTCGCAGATGATTCTGTTTCGGTGTCTGGCGGGCGTCTTTGCGGGCACCATCGTGACCATCCGGACGATGATATCTGAGCATAGCACCGCCAAAACGCAGGCGCGGGCTTTCAGCTGGTTTGCCTTTTCCGGAAATCTGGGGATTTTCTTTGGCCCGCTGATAGGAGGCGCGTTAGCGGATCCGGCTGGACAGTACCCGGGGCTCTTTGGCAACATCCAGTTCTTCAAAGACTATCCTTACGCGCTGCCTAGTTTTGCTGTGGGCGTCATCGGCGTTACTGCGGTATTGGTTACCGCTTTCCTTGCGGAGGAGACGCTCAAGAAGGAGATGTTCAGCAGTGGCAGCGACAGCGAAGAGTCTGGTGGTGCCCCAGCCAAGCCCAAGCCCATTTCTACTTGCGACCTTCTGAAGTCCCCGGGTGTACCCATTATTCTCTACACTTACGGCCACATTATGACCTTGGCGTTTGCTTATACTGCCATCGTGCCCGTCTTCTGGTTCACGCGGGTTGACCTCGGAGGCCTTGGATTTACGCCTTTGCAGATCTCACTCATGATGGGTCTCGGCGGCCTGGCACAAGCAATCTGGATCCTAATCGTCTTCCCTCCCCTCCAGCATCGCATTGGCACCAACGGTGTTCTGCGGGTATGCGCGATCGCGTATCCGTTCTTCTTTGCCACGTTGCCCTTTTTCAGTACCCTCTTGCGCTACGGCGGTTCGACGGGCGAGATCATTTTCTGGGTCATTACCCCGGCCCTGCTGTGTCTTGGGAGCGGCGTTAGCATGTCCTTTACGGCCATCCAGCTCGCCCTCAACGATGCCTCGCCCAGTCCCGTCACTCTTGGGACGCTGAACGCGTTGGCTCTGTCGCTTGTTAGCGGTGTACGGTCCTTCTCACCGGCTTTGTTTGCTAGTCTCTTTGCTATCAGCGCTCGTACGCAGTGGCTATGGGGTTATGCTATCTGGGTCTTGATGGTGCTTTTGGCGGCTGGGTTTACAATAATTAGCAGTTATCTGCCGGATTATGATGAGTTACGGAGGCAGAGGGAGAGACGGGAACTGGATGAAGATGGTTTGTTGCATGTTGGAGGAGGCGTGGCCGGAGTTACGATAGCTGCGGAGGCTTATACGGATTAAGTTCTTTTCGGACAGCTGGAAAAAAGGGCCTGTAAGCATGTTTACACAATTGTTATAGACTATAAAGGCGCCTGAATTATCAACACCTTTTAAACCTCGAAGCAATGTTGCCGTGGTGTCTAGCAGTTGAATTCGAAGGTGCATACTGTGCAGATTCTCCGTGCATTTCGTGAAACCACACCGTAGTTCGATCACGTCACGGGGTGTCGGTCTTGGGCTCCAAACCAAGCGCCCAACCACACATCGTCTTTCCTTGCTGGAGAACATTCCAAGTCAACAACAGACCGTCCGACGTCATAGCTTCCCTCTTCAAGCCATCCCACCATTGGCGTCCAAGCAGTTCATCCAGTCCAATCTCTTACCCGGTTCGCAAACGCGTAGATAGCGTGCAGTCGAGAACCGGGTGGATTATACGAGGACGTCCAGCATGGCTGGACTAACCCACACCATGAACCATCCAGCCTGTTATTATCTCGGGCCTTTCCCGCTTCCCTGCCCTTGAGCTTGCTCTCCACTCATTAACACTCTTCTGTCCCGAAACCCTATTTTGGTAGGAAGATCAGGACTTTTGACTTGACAATCGCGATCTTCTGTCTCCATTGGCAGTTATCAACCTTCCGTTGTCCACACAAGAGTTGAAGAGGAATCCGGAAACGTTCTTCATCAGCTCTTTTGCTCAACAAATACCCGAACGACGTTCTCTGTACCGATACGAGGGACTAGTGAACGTTACGGATAGAGATTATCCCCAGCCTACAGAAAGACACCGCGCATAAGCAGATACATCCGTCACCAGTGCGTGTCCTTTCATCGTCATGTCTGTCGTGAAGCACTTGATACTAACACCTCTATCAGTGTACGCCGCCAAAGTACACCGTCACAGAAAACGCCTCTATCTAGAGCCTCCCGTCAATGGCTCCACGACCGTCCGGAGAAATATCACCACAATCATTCCTGCGGAAGAGCAGCAAGTAGCAATTATCGAGAAACCAGTTAAACCAGCTCATCCGCCTCCGGTACACGTGCTTGAGCCTGCACCGCCACCACCACCGCCGATGTTCTACCCTGACCCTCATCAACCAGTCGCATATCTTCCCCATCCGGCACCACCTCCCCCGCCCGCCTGGGCTCCGATGCCCGCCCATCCTCCTCCGCCTCCAGTCTACGCCCCGATGCCTTCCCACCCACCACCACCACCTTCGGTTCACTTCCCGGCTCCTGAGCCACACCACCACCATAATCATGATCATTACGACCATGAACATTACACCCATGAAAAACACAACGAGCATACCCTACGGGAAACGGAAGTAGACGTCAAATACACCCACACGCACACACGCACACCTCCGCCGATCTTACACGATGGCGAACACGCCGACATCATCGACGTGATTGCCGTTGACGTTGACGAAAAGAAAAAGAAGAAGAAGAAGAAGCGATCCAAATCGCGCCACGCCAAGCGCAGCCGCAGCCGTGACCGCGAAGTCATCATCGAGCGCGAAGTGCGGGTCCCCGTTCCCGTGCGCGTGCCCGTCCCAGTTCCAGTCCCAGTAAAGGAAGAACTAGAAACCTATCGATACGTGGAGGGACCCAAGCCAAAAAGGCACGAATCACTACCGTCGAGGAGGATGAGGAGTCCGCCGCCGCCAAGACCGCCGTACCCGTGGGAGCAGCATCAGGACAGGGACAGGAGTTCTACGAGGTCGGCGTCGACGGTCAGACATAGGAGTCCGTCGAGGATGAGTAGCACTACGGGCAGGAGTAGCGTGACGAGCTTGGAGAGGGAGATGGATAGGATTAATATCACGATTGAGGAGAAGAGAAGGCCGAGGTTCGATAGGGACCCAAGGGATAGGGGGAGGGATAGGAGCCGGGAGAGAGGGTCGTATTATCGCTGATGATGCGGGCTGGTGCTATTCATCGGTTTTCTTGCTATTTTCTTCGGTTGATGTCCTTATTTGGGGGGACTGTAATGTTGGGGGATATGATCTAATGATTTCACGACACTCTCATGAGCTTATGTTACGCAACGATACCCATCTAGCTTAGCTATGATGATGATTATAATGACAAATAACGAACGTAATCTTCTTCTTTATGCGAGGGAAGTTAGCAACCTGGCCACGCTGAACTAGGTGAACGCTCTTCATACATCATACAACTGAGCACCACACACTCACCTCGGCCTCTGATCCCATCTCGGTCAACTTAACGGCATGTGTCAGATCTCTGGTTTCTCATCTGGTCTTTGGCCTTCCATCCCATCTGGTCTACTATCATCGCATATTAAAAGCCATACCTATTCCATTTGATGTACAACTAGCTTTTAATTATTCTTCACATTTTCAGGTCTTATCACTTTCGCTCGTGCGCAGTCCATTCTATAATTCTACGTGGTGACAAACGACCAGTGTTGAGTTCAAGAGATCTCGTGCAAGGTCATAATGATTGAGTACATGTTCCCATCGCGAGTCCCTCCGATGCGTTTGATATGCAATACTCGTCGGCTCTTCTACATTTGACAGTTGTCTTTCGTTTTTTTCTTCTTCTTCTTCTTCTTCAATTAAGAACCATCAACACCCCGTTGTTGCGAGACCAGACATCAGACACCAGACACCAGGTGGAGTCCGGAGTCCGGATAAAAATGCACGGACCTCGCACTTATGTACAACCTTTAATTGTTTCGGCATGTGTTGGACCGAACGGAAGACCCCACGACCCTGATCCTCAAATCTCATTGTGTTGTATTGTTTCCCGTCGGTGTCGGTCAGTCTGTTTTCGGTTTCTTGATACCCTACGATTGATTGAAAGATGATGCCCTGAATTTCTTCGGACGTTTATTGTACGTAGGTAACGAACGTGGTGAGTGGAGTGCTTGGGAACACAGAAAGCGATTTTGAGAGTACCGAACGGTTTGTCACCACCACCCCTGTTTCTATTGAACCTACCCCGGAAAACAAAGCCCTTTCTTTCTTTTCTCTCTTTTCTTTCTTTTCTTTCTTGCTGAGACCCTGACACTTCCCGGTCTGCGTGGTTGAGACTTTCCTTTTCCAGCCCGTTCTCAGATGTCCATCCAGGGCGCTTCTTCTCCGCAGTGTACTGTGTACGTGCTGTGTAGGTTTTGTTTTTAGTGGTCCAAACAATTTCCAGTACGAATGTGGTTTATAAAATTCCAGGGGCTTCTGGTCCGTTACGAAACACACCGACATCCAACCAATGGTTGAGGAGAACCAAGCATCGCCCGCTCTAATTCTGAATGCAAAGAATCCCACGTGAGAGGGTGACCACACGCACTGCAGTGCAGTGTGTGTGTGTGCTTGTTGCAACGGGCGGGCAGGCGGGAAACTTGTTGAACAAATGGGACGGGGGTTTTGGCTGGCTGGGTGGGTGACTCGCATGCGAATATCGACATTTTTCTGCCGTGAGAAGCATCGTCGGGCAACTTTCTTTGTTTGAACTTCGAAGGATTCTATTCGGTTCCTGAATCTTGAGTCTGGGCGTGGGAAGTAGTGTAGAGGTATGTGTGTGTGTGGCACACCTCTTAACTTTCAAATCCATCTCCAGAATGGACGACCCTCACGAAGCCGCCTGCGACTGCGACATACCTAGGGTCACTAGGTGCCAAATGGTGCGCTGAGAGTGGCAGAACGGCCTGCCTCTTATGGTATACCCAATACCACACAGCGCATGTGCCAAAAAGGGGGTGATAATCTGCGTTCCCCGGCGCAGAGTCGCAATACGTAGTGTACAATGTGGAAGGTCTTGTACGCAATAAATCCTGCGCGCGTGCGCGGTTGCTGACCTGCCTTTTGGTTTCCCGATCGATGTCTTAGTGTCGAACTCCCCTCTGCCACCAGTAACCACAAATTCTGATCTCGGCAAGTCTGCCTGTCTTTTGATGAGAAAACGAAAAGAGATTTTGCCGTCAGGAGCCGCCAATTTCTAACGGCTGCCGATATCAGGCCTATCAAATGGCACCAAACAGCCTTTGACCTGTCATTGCCTGTCTTCCCCGTGTTTAACTGGTGTCTGTTTTTTATGGCGTGCCTAGCTGGATTCCCTTGTTCCCTTGTTGGTTCTTGCGCATGGGGAGGAAAGATGTGCCTCTTTGGAGGTTTAAACACAAGGGTAGAGCAGGCGATTGCGTACATATATCTCATTTTGTGATATTCGTGTTCGATGTGTGAATTACAGGAGCATCTCGTATTGCATACGTGGTCAGCTCATGACCAAAGGAGCTGGGAGCTGGGAGCTGCGTTGAAGTGATTATCAACATGGGGGAAACATGAACAAAGAGAACTGACAGGTAGCGCGCATAGTTGTCTGCGCCAGTCTATCCCACGCTCATTGTTCTGAACGGCAGGTAGGTAGGACAAGAGGGTCCAGGGTCATTATCGCGCTTGATATCCCCGTCGATTAAGCGACTTCATCATGTTTGCTGGCGACAACGGCGGAGCCATATCACCGGAGAATACATACTGTCTTGGGGGATGATCTGACGAGGTGGACATTGCTCGTCAACAGGCTACCCCGCGAGGAATATTAGTCCCCATCACGTCAGCTCTGTAGAGGCTACTGGTATAGATTATTGAACTGGGTAGCTCATCTTGGTTGTCGATGCTTGAATTCTAGGGCCAAAGGCATCCAGGAACAGATTGACCCGTCTTGACCGTGGTTGACTGGTGGTTTACCTTGAATTCAAGATTGAAACTTTCATGTCTCGACCAAGGCGCCTGTTTCGCCTGACTTTAGGTATTCTCGTCTCAGGTAAATATGGCGACCGAGACTGTATGAAACTGCTGCACCACATTCAACTTAAAAAGAGAAAAGTCATGATGTTTGCGCGCGCTAGACATCCAGGTGTCCTGTGTTCCTGCAGTAATGTCGAGCTCGTGCATGCAGACACTGGAGTTTGCATCGATCCCGGTGCCGCTGAAGGCGGGGCCGCGCGCGGGACAAGCGGCGGGGATGACACAAGCAGATACTTTTCAACATCACTCTTGTGTCACGACGGGAGCTGCTTGAATTGAATCCCAGATCTTGCGTCTTCCACTGTGTATCGGCAAACAATGTTAACAAGGAGAATGCACAACTTACCTACCAGCAAGTTGAGAAAAGGTTCAGTGAGTCTTGTGGTTGAGCATGAAATGAGATGCTGCTGCTCTCGGTCTGGTGAAATCACCAAAGCAGCTTTCTAACCTTCAGCAGGTCAGTGGCGCCGATTGCCATGGCGGCATGTGCTCTGAGCTGTGACCCTGATCCCTGCCTTTAATTTCATGAGGGATGGTGGGATGGTAGCCACCACTGCCGAGAGAGTTACCTTCGGTTGCTAACATACGACATCTCATTCAGCATTTCAGCCCTCCCGGTTTGAGGGTTATCACACCTGGTTCACGATGAAATCTGTTAGCAGGAACCCCCCAGAGCCCAGGCGCTGCCTCATGCACAAAGGTACACCAAAGTGAAGCGACCCCAGTGTCCTGAGCGCCTGGTGTCCCTGACCAGCCCTTCCCGGTTTGATTGAACAGCGCCGGCGGCACATGTGGATGGATGCGGACTTGGCGCGGACGTTGCGGATCCAATACAGTTGCATCCACGGGGCAATTCGCGGGGGCAGGCTCTGTCGACGAGCAGCACGGGGAATTAAACTTGGCCCAAAGTTGGCCGCTGTCCAGACGAGATACAGCACTAGGAAATCAGTCAGTCGATTGCCATCTCTCAAATCTCAGGGATTAGGGGGGTTGTTACCTCGAACAAAGGACTGGACATCGACAAAGGGACACCAAAAGAGTGCCATTGGACGACCGGCGGAGAGGGGAAGGAAGCAAAGGCCAAAGAGATGTGAGGAGAAAAAAAAAGTTTTGAATTGGTCTCTTGCCATGGAACTTCCCATTTCATCCTATCCTATCCTATCCTATCCTATTCTATCCCATCGATCCCATCGATCCCATTGTTCAGTCCCATCCGAGCCCATCCCATCCGGCTGGGTCTTCCATCTTGGTCCTCCAGTGTTTGGACCCGTCATTTGACTCTTTTTCCGTCTTTCATCTTCTTACCACTTCCGCTCCTCGTCCCGTCTCGGCTCTAACCCCCCAGATGTCGCGACTCATACCTACACTGTAGGTTAGATCGAAACAAAGGACACAGAGACCCTCACTCAACATACAACGTTCCGCGATACACGCCCAGGATTTCCGTGGAAAGGCCTATCTTGGTTGTTGTCTCGAACAGCCCCTACTCTTTCATTACCGCCCGAGACAGCAAAGCAGGCACATTCTACACCAAAGCAGCCATATCCAACACCACCGTCTACGTTATCGATTCCCGTCAGGTTCATAACACGCACACATACTTGGCCAGCATAGCAATAAAGCAGTCAACCCTTAATATTTAATCACCAACCCCCTGCCGCGCGTCACAAGCTGAATCGACCGAGGCCCGGTTCATACGCTGCATACACTCAACGACTGAGCATCGGAGTCGAACCTGTCTTGCCAACTGCGCCGCATAGTTCAAACATTGAGCATACTACCCGAACCGCACCCTGGACACACCCACGCCAGCTACTTTACATACCTCTACTTTCCTAGTCGCCCGTTGCGCGCTTGTGGAAGTCAATTTGTACTCTTGAGAGGCTACCACGGCGAATTAACATATGCGACGTTAATCAGGGTCACCCGGGCACTTCGAAACTTTGGCGAGTTATCCTGCGTTAAGCTCTGACCCCCTCCGCAGGTCCCTCTCACAGGTCCCCTCACCTCTTCTCACGTCTCGTCCTCAATTGGCCGCCAAGTCCTGGACTCCTGGTGCTGTCCTCCTATCTGCCTCTCCAAGTGTGTGTCTGGGTTGTAGTACCTAGGTTCCATTCCCCTTCTCCAGGGGCGCTTTGTCGCATTACGGACCACGGGCATGTCGCAGCTTGCTCACCCGGCCGATGCTGGCCCGTCAAACCAACATTATGATGGGAGAGCCTTTACCACAGCACCTCCACCACCACCACCCAACAGTGCGCTGCCAATAACACCCTCCTCGCAGAGGTATGTCATCTTGTTTCCGCGTTTGGCTTTGCTTCGTGTCATTTCTCGTTTTGCGCCTCCAATTTCCCCAAGTGAGTGTGGAGTTGAGATCGTTTCTAGGGAGGACGTGGGTTTGATGGTTGTGTCCGTTGGATCAGACTTCAACACTGGTTGTGCTGTGGGAACCCGAGCCGCTTGAAGACATTTGAACATCGGAAGGATATTGGAGACGGACGGAAGACAAATTCGACAGACGCTGAAGATCGCACGGACGAGCCCCCAAGAGCAACTTTCGACTGTCCAGCGGCGCACAACCGACACCGGACAAACCGCCGCCAGCCGACCTACCCCCTACAGATTCTTCTGCTGTCTTCACTGCTGTGTTACTGTCAGATAGTTGCTGCTGCCGTGTCCACGATACTGACCCAATCGATCTATCACATCAGGTTCCCACAGAAACCTGTCCCAAGCCCCCTGCAACGAAGTACCGCTGCCTCTCCCCCGACGAGTCCCGGCCCAACACAATCCGACTTCTCGCCGACGTTCCACAACCCTTTCGTAGCGGCCGCGATTCCGCGGATAGTAACAACGACTGCTCCCGATCACCCCTCGCCAACGGCCTTCTTCGATAGCGAATCTTCGGGCAGAGATACTCCAGAGGAAACAAGGCCAGGGTGTGTAGACCCCGTCCCATACCTGTTGGCCTTCGACGTTGGCGACTGAAAGCAAAACCGAGCCCGAACACCGTGCTAACATCGCATGTCATGAATCAGACCAGAATCGTCGTTCAGCCCAAAATCTTCGAATGATCGCAACAACTCGATTACGGGACTGATCCAGCAGCCTCCTTCAGGCTCCTCATCTGGCCAGACTTCTGCCATGGCAGGTCCATCGGCAGTGCGGGCTGACCTTGTCAGGAATGCCCCGAGAAACTCCTCCATGGACTCAGCAATATCAGCCATATCGACGAGATCAAACAACACTACAAAAGCATCGCAAGAGACCAACGTAGGGCCCGCAGAGATCGCTGGCTTAATCAAGACCGCCGGGAGTCCAGAGGCAGTCATCCAGTACTTGTTAAAGGAGAAGCAATCACAAGCCCAGCAGAACGCGCAACTATGGCGACTGGTTGATAAGCAGAGAGCTATGATCTTGGGCCTCAATAAGGACCTCGAGCGGGCCTTGAAGGAGAAGGAAAAATACAGGAAGAAGCTAAAGGAGCTACTGAGTGACCCGGATGGACCCTCAGTTCCGGCAGTAGCAGCTGCAAAAGCTCAGGAAATAAACAGGACCTCAACCGGCTCCGACTTCTCAATCCAGGAGCACGTACTGGAAGTCCCAGGCTCTCCTGGCCAAAACCCAACCAACCAGAGACAATCATCCGTCGACATGTCTATGGCGCCATACCCTGTGACTCCTCCTGCCGGCCAACCACCTTCTCATGGTTCTCCATCCGCCATGGGTGAGATGCTGGATCCTTCTCATATGATGCCGAAGCCGAGCGAACATGCGCTGAATCACTATGATGTCGACGCGCTGGAGTGGGAGCGCGAGAAGTCTAGGAGGCAAGCAGCCGAAGCCGAGGAGCAAGCCACCGGACTTCATATCAAACCGAACCTACCACCATCGAGAAGTTTGCCAAGCGTGCCTCCTCAAATGCCGCTCCCTGCGACACCTACAGAACAGTCTTCTTCAAAGCGTATTGATCTGCCTCTACGGGGACAGCTGCCCCCTCCAACATCACCACCTTTTCGTAAACCACCGCCCGCACCTCTTCAGCTTAAGGATAGTGCTCTGCACAGCAAAAAGGCACAACAACCCGTCGAGGCAGACAGCGGATCCGAGTATGACGACGACCCCAAGGCCGACCAACAAAGCCTTGAAGAACGAAGAGGCCGCCGGAGGACACGAGAGGAAGATGACCGTGATCGCGAAATCATGGCAAGAAAAGAAGCCGAATTGCGAAGCCTGTCGAAAAAGAGCAAGAAGAGTGCCAGCAAGGCCCCAAATGAGGACGCGCCACCGCCGCCTCCGGCGGGAATGCCATCCGACCCCCGTTTCCTCGAAGTGAAGATGAGTGCTCCTCTTCAGGAGACGACTGTCTCGTCACTGGCCGGGGTTCTCAGTGGGACGGTTCAGCGGGATGCTTCCTATGCGATGCCGCTTTTGAGCCCTGGTCTTCCCTCTAGCCCACGCCCGATGCCGATGGGAGGAGTCAGCTCACCACCACTTTCGCCTAGGGGCATGAACTTTATGGGAGCACCGCTGTCCCCACGGCCACCGCGAGCGCCGATTCCTCTGCCACCCAACACACCTTTGCACATCTCCGCCCCGCCAACGATGCCACTGCCTTCTCCTAGACCTATACATATGGTGAAGGAAACCGACAGCATATCTTCTACCTCCAGCCCAACCAAGAGCACCTACGAGAGCCCGACCGAAAGGACTAGGATTTATAGGGGCTTCGTGACCGAGGAATACCCAGACCTTTTGCTGCCGCCAAACGCTCTTCCATCCATCGATATTAGGGTTGCGTCTTCTCGTATGAAGCCCTCCAGGGCTAGCCTGCTGTCCATGACACAGCTCGAAGAAGACCCAGTTTTCACCCTGGCTGTGTTCTCCAGAGCGGACGGTGGCGAGCTATGGAGGGTCGAAAAGGACTCGGCCTCTTTAGCAAAGCTCGACAACAGGCTCAAGTGTTGTCCCACGTTCACTGCAAGAACTCCTGATAGGTCTTTGTTCAGCGGACATGCTCCCGCAAAGCTGGACGCCCGTCGGATTGCCCTCAACCAATACCTGGATGAACTGTTGAACACTCCTCTCGATCATGGTACGGCTTTGGAACTGTGCAAGTATCTATCCACGCATACTCTCCCGCCCAATGCCGACGAGACCGGATCTTCGACTGGTTACGAAAATCCGGAAGCGGTACTAACTGGGCCTGGTGGAAGGCCTTACCGCAAGGGTTATCTCACGAAGCGCGGCAAGAACTTTGGCGGTTGGAAGGCCAGGTACTTCATCCTAGATGGCCCCCATCTCAAGTATTACGAGACACCCGGTGGTGCCCATCTTGGTACCATCAAGCTACAGAAGGCGCAGATCATGACACAGGTCGGCAAGCACGGTCATCATGACGATTCCCCAGCCCGTGGACCTGGGGTGGAAAATCCCGACAATCAGTACCGGCATGCCTTTGTGATTAAGGAACCCAAGAAGAAAGACCCAACTAGCGTCACTACACATGTGCTGTGTGCTGAAAGCGACAGGGAACGGGATGAGTGGGTGTCAGCACTGCTGCGCTGGATTGACTACACCGACGATGAAAAGGAGGACCGCTCGAAGAAAACCCAGACCCACGACAGGCATGATTCTACCAACTCCGAACGGGCCAATGGAAACCACAATAAGAAGAAGCAACAAGTCGAGACAGTGGGCAGAAGTTACGATACCACAAAGCAAGGAGACTTACCACAAGGCGTTTCATCCAACCAGCCTCCTGCTCAGGGACATGCCGTGCCATCCGGCTTTACAATTTCAGCCCCTCGCGATCCCCAGGTCATTTCAAACTCGGAGGCTTGGGGTACCAAGTTAGGCATGGGCCCCTCGGCGCCACTGCCGGCACCGCCCGTTGTGGAACAAAAGGCCCCCAGGCCACGGAGAAGTATCTTTGGTTGGGGTGATAGCAAAGAGAAGGCCGGAAAGTCTATCGATGCACACCATACGCTGTTTGGCGAGAACGGCCAAGCGAACAACCACCACGGCCCGGTCAGGCCTGTGTTCGGTGCACCCTTGGCTGAAGCAGTGAGGTACAACGCTCCAGTGGACGTTAGGGTCCCGTTGCCAGCTGTTGTTTATCGCTGTATCCAATACCTGGATGCCAAGGATGCCATCAACGAAGAGGGTATCTTTAGGCTGAGCGGTTCCAACGTTGTCATCAAGCAGTTGAAAGAACGGTTCAACAATGAGGGCGATATTGACCTGGTTAACGATGGGCAGTATCACGATATCCATGCTGTCGCGTCGTTGCTCAAGGCTTATCTGCGCGAATTGCCCACAACCATATTGACACGGGATCTCCATCCCGAGTTCCAGTCCGTTACTGAAAAGCTCCCGGATCAGGCCCAGAGAATCGCAGCTCTTTCGGTGCTCGTGGAACGGCTCCCACAGGCCAATGGTACCCTCCTCAGGTACCTGATTGCTTTCCTGATCAAGATCATCAACCATGCCGACTCCAACAAGATGACAGTACGCAACGTTGCTATTGTGTTCTCGCCTACACTCAACATTCCAGCTCCTGTTTTCGCTCTTTTCCTCCAGAACTACGAAGCGATCTTTGGCATTGACCCCGGCGAATATGAGCTTCCCACGACGGATTCTGGTAGTGTCCACAGCAGCACTCACGAACGTACCGGGTCGCACCCTTCGGACACTCGGTCGTCAACTCACAGCGGCTCACCCTATGGGCAGCGGCCCACTATGAAGCCCGTTATCGAGGGCCAAGTGAGCCGCAATACGCCAACGCCACCGCTCTCTATGAGCATGCAACAGATGGCTCAGATGAACGCTGCGCGGGAGCACTCGCGGAGCACTCCCACACCTCCACTTCAAAGACCCGCCTATGACGATATTGCGTTATACTCTGCGCAACAAGGAATGAGGCCTAGCACAGGTTTCGGGGGATCTCACGATTTCCATCCGTCTGCCACCCCCTCTTATGAGCAATATTCAATGAAGGACCGGCGCAAGAGCAGTATGCCCAACCTTCACCCTTCGGGAACAAGAGGCCAGTCCAGAGACGATAATCGGTTTTAACCACTTTGATCTGCATTTCTACCTATCTTACATCTCCACGCAGAATATGGATGCCGAGGATCGTTCGTTCCGGTCTTGTGCTTGGATATCTCTGCTAGATCCTCTTCTTGGATATCCTCTTTTTGGATATGTTACAGACGTTTTGTACGGCATTTTTACGCCAATATTCTCCACATCCCAATTTTTTCTTTTTTCTGCGACCAATATGAGATACCATTACATTCCAATGTCCTTTGGCTTCTTTCTTCCTCTTTCTCTTCCTCTTCTCTTCTTACTCGGGGTCACTTAGACTAGATGGCGGCTGTTGTCAAACATTAAACCGTCATTTCAAGTTTTGGTTGCAGATCACAACCTTCAAGACTTGATGTATCATATCATACTAGGATACCATTCATGCCAGTTGAAATATGGCACCAATGTGAGGAAGAAAATCTGCTTGGATAATATGTAAAAAAAAATAGTACGGAAGTCGCGTTTTGACGAGTTAATGATAGGGGTTGTCTCGAAAAGGAAGAATCCCTGTAGGCTTGAAGCTGGTAATAATGTACGTACCTGTGATGTTTTATGTTTCCAACGGAAATGGAAAAGCCTTTGTGACGACCTCGCTTCTGTGAGTTCTCAGGGACGCCTCAGCTGGCTGATTCAGATCCCAAAAACGGAAGTTGTGATGAATAACACCCGATCAGGGGCAAAAGCACAGACCACGTGACGAAGCACGACCTAACACGCTCGCCTAAAACGTAGACTCCAGAGCAAGATGTCAACAGGAATAAATAAGACACCAACGAGTTTTGATGACTATCAATAAGCTCAAAGACGAATAAAAGGAAGAAGGTCAATGAGAAAAAAAGAAAACGGTCCTGGTGTTAACGGTCATGTAATTCTTATAGTATTCTAGCCCGACTGTGGCAGTTTACGTTGATTTGTCACTGGGCGAAACACGCTAGAGGTAGACTGCCACAGATAAACCGCCGACCTCCGACTATTTTCACCCGGACCCGAACAGCATCATCGGTAGATCGGACGAAGAAAGGCCCGTCATCCCGACGTCAACGACACCATAGCATAGCAACCCCGCGAGCTAGCAAGAGCAAACAGCACGACAGTGGGCACCACACCGAGACAATAGTGGCGCGACAAGTTTTCCATTGCGTCCCTTGGTCGGGGTCATGGATATCGATCCCAAGCTTCGCAGCTCTGGCAACAACGCGGCCAATGGAGCTTCAGTGACGACACCGTCGACAAACGCGGCCGACCAGAACGCGACGAGTAGCAATACCCAGGGTGGCCGTGGTACTATCAATGCACCGAGTCCCGGCAGCCAACATCAACCACCACAGCTACAAGCGCATCCACATTATCACCCCAACTCCCAGACCCATCTTCCATCCGGTCAACCAGACCACAGCTCCCAACTTCGATCTGCTACTGTAAGTCAGACGAACTCTCCAGCACAGTCTCAGTTGCAGTATCAGTTGCAGACACCGCACAATCGACCAGACTCGAAAGCATCCGTAACATCGCAAGCGACCGCTCATAACCCGCCGTCCTTCTCTTCGATCCCGCCGCAATCTCCAACCTCCTCCGTCGATTACAGTCACGACTCCTCCGCTGCCCCCGGCACTGCGACGGCCCATGATACGCCTGCCGATGTCCCATCGCCTGGTGTTGATGGCGGAGAAAGAGGTCCCAACGGGGAACCCAAGAAGCCCCGGGCTTGCGAAAGTTGCCGCGGTCTGAAGGTCCGATGCGAGCCGAACCCCGCGAATCCGAACGGGGATTGCAAACGCTGCGCAAAAGCTAAGCGACCCTGCGTCATCACCGAACCTTCGCGCAAGCGTCAGAAAAAGGCAGATAATCGGGTGGCGGAGCTGGAAAAGAAGATCGATGCCCTGACGGCGACATTGCAAAACGTACGCGGTGGCACGAATCCCTTGCCTCTGGCATCCCCGTCCGTCTCCCCAGCGACTACTGGGCCTGATGCACAAGCGGTGCCGAGGTATACAACAGCGACTCCTTATGATCCCAACAATGGCTATGGGTCTGGAAGAGGGACATCTATAAGTCAACCGCCTTCCGCAACAAGGGATTGGCCTGGTCCACCGAGAGAACAACAACCTGCGTCAGGACGCCAACAGACACCGTCACGAGCCTGGCCTGGCTACGGCGAAATGGATCGCGATAATAACCCATACCCAACGCCGACTATGGCCCCTGGGGGGCTGAAACGGAAGCATGGTGCCGACGATCGGGAGCGAGCTAGTCAGGATCCGCGAGATAATAACTTCTCTATACCGCGACTGCCAGCACGACAACCTGATATTGTTGACCGAAATGTCATCAGCATGGCTCAGGCATCTGCATTCTTCGAGCGATATAACAAGCATATGGTGCCACATCTGCCAGGTGTCGTTTTCCCCGCCGATATGACGGCAGATGAGCTCAGGAGATCGCACCCGATCCTTTTCCACGCCGTCATGGCTGCTGCCGCGGGGGAAATACCCTCTGTGCAAAAGATCTTGACGAACGAGTTGATGAAACGCTTTGCGGAAGAGGTCATGGTGACTGGAAACAAGAGTCTCGAGCTTGTTCAGGCAATCCAGGTGGCTACCATATGGTACTGGCCACCCGAACGCTTTGAGGAACTCAAGTTCTACCAGTTGCTTCACATCGCCGCTGTCATGGCCATCGATCTTGGCCTGGGAAGGAAAAGACAGCCAAGGGGCGGATTGAGGAACGGCATGCCCACCACCATACGTGACAAGATCATGTACAAGCCACCTCCTCCGGATCCTACGTCAATCGAGTCCAGACGGGCGTGGTTGACGTGTTATTTTCTGGCAACCAATACTTCCATGGCACTCCACCGCCCGAATCTCATCCGCTGGTCTTCTTTTATGGAAGAAAGTGTCAGCATACTGGAGACCTCGCCTGAAGCAGCGCCAACGGACAAATATTTGTGTCATTTGATATGGACGCACAGGCTAGCAGAAGAGGTTGGCATCAATTTTTTCGATGACCATAACTCTGGCTCTAGCATCACGATCCCGAGGACACAGCATTTACTGAGCTATTTCGAGCACAAACTAGACGAGTACCAAAGGTCACTCCCGGACGACATGCGGCAGCCGTCGCTCATGTTAAGCTTTCACGTTCTTGATCTGTACATGCACGAGATCGTCTGGCAGAACGAGAGCCCGGACGACGTCAAAGGACCTAACACGTCCATTGACGGCCAAACAGCCTGGCTGGACGGTAACTTGACGCCTGCCCACGTCAAAGCGCTGAGCGCAACTCTGGAAGCCATCAAGCACATATTTGAAATCTTCCTCAACATGGAGATTCATAGCATACGCTGCCTGCCTGCTTTCAGCTTTGTGCGCATCGCCTACGCCGTGGTCATCTTAATCAGAATTCATTTGTCTGTGATTTCGCCCAAGACTGAGCTTGGCAAAGTCATGAAGAAGGAGGACATAGAGGTTGAGAAGTGGATCGAAAAACTATTGGAGAAGTTTAAGGTTACTATGGCGGAAGACAAGAACAGACCAGCCGCCAAGTTCTTCTTCGTTCTCGGGATGCTTAGACAGTGGTTTCAAGCGCAGAAACAGCCCGCCCGGCCTAAAGGGTCGAGCACCTCCCGTACTGAGGCTGGTCCTTCCGGAGCGGCAGCATCGGGTACCTCTACCGAGTCATCAACTACGCCTTCATTTGGTAGCAACCAAACGCCACGAAAAGACAATGCCGGCGACAAGAACCTCGCTACCACCGCCTCCGGGACTTTACGATCAAATCAAGCACATAAGCAACAGCAGCAACAGCAACCAAACGCCTCCAACTACCCAACCACAGCAGACACACCTCTCCATCTCCTCTCCGAGGTCGCAACGCACGAATCATCAACCGTCCCAACCTCCAGCTCCAGTTCCGGTCCTGCTCCTCCTCCTCCTCCCGGAGGAAAACCCACCGTCACAACAGGTCCAGGTCCATCGCCTAGTCAACACACCGCCCACATGCCCAACAACGCAAACATCATCCTCTCGGCCCCCATCAGCGCCTCACCCAACGATGCTTCTGTGGCGTGGAATCTCCATCGCTCACAGCAGCCTGCCCAACATTCGCCATTTAATATGTCAGGCGCTAGTCCCGCCACGACAGTTCCAGATATGAACCAGCAGGCCCTTGGCTCTCAGGACCCACTCCCATGGTTCAGCCAAGCGTTCATGCCCGAATTTGAGCCGGTCAACTTTGGCGATGGGTTCGAGCAAGCTATGGACCTGACGCTCGGCGGAGTGGTGGGCGATGAGTTTGATGTGATGGCGTTGGGTATGGGGTTGGGTATGGGTATGGGCATGGGCGGTGAAATGGACATGGGTGGGGGCGCGGGTGGGGGGTTTGATGGCGGTTTGGGGGCTGCTGGGTTTGGAGGGGGAGGGAGGGAGGTGTATAGTTATGGTCAGGGCTGGTACGGGGGTGATCAGCAGCAGCAGCAGAATGATAGGAGCCAAACAGGTGGCGGCGGCGGCGGTGGTGCTGGTGCTGGGCATGGACAGCAGGGACAGCAACAGCAGCAGCAGCAGCACGCTGGACATGGTGGACATGGTGGACATCATCATGCTGGGGAATGAATCCCAATATGGGTTATTATTGATGGGACGGAACTCCGGCCAGGCGTATCATCCCACAATGCTGTCGTGGTGGCACGTATAGTTGAACTGGACTGGACTGGACTGGACTGGACTCGACTGGACTGGACGCACGACTTCTTCCAGAGTTTCTTTTTCTGCCAGAGTTTTTGAATTAGTTGTACGGCGGCAGGCACACGTTGAGTATAAAAGCAAAACCTGGATATATACATGTACGCGGCATGAAGTAATGGTTAATGGATAATAGAAAAGATAACAGTGTCCCTCGTCAAAGAGGGGGGATATAACAAAAATTCATGGTATGAGTGTTATTGCTACAGATAGAGAATCAAGTTGCTGGAAGAAGTCATGCCATGATTACAAGACGTACTGTACGTACGCATGCAAGATAAAATACCAATGAACGAGCGTTACAAACGCGCGGTTTTGTTTTATTGTTTCTTTCTTTCTTTCTTTCTTTCTTTCTTCTTTCTTCTTTCTTCTTCTTCTTCTTCTTCTTCTTCTTCTTCTTCTTCTTCTTCTTCTTCTTCTACTATACAACATTCGCGTTTTCACGTCAATAGTTACCTACAAGGAAGAGAGAAAAGGTCCCGGACTAAGTACACAAGCAGTCACTACTGCTATCTTATCACATTCACCATCTGATAGACTATCTGGCAGACTGGACTGGATAGTGGCGATGGTAGGGTAGGGTAGCAATTTCACGAACGTAGCGAGGGATCGCCATATTCGTCATTTGTTAAACCCTCCTCAGACCTCCCTGAGCCTCACCGGGTATGTTAAATACACGAAAGATAAGGAAGGTCTATAGGAATCGTACCCGTATGCAAGTGGCGAGACGTTGACGTCCGATTGAGACATTAATATATAGAGGCAGTTTTGCAATAAACGGAGCAAAAATCGGAACAGGGCCGTGGAAGATGGGGGCAGGTAGAATTGTCTTTTAATAACTCTAATCAATATATATTTCCCTAACTTCTCTCTTCACTTTCTCTCTTCACCTTTCTCTTCACCCCTCTCTTCAGCGTTACTTCACTTTACAGTCTGATTTCCAAGTTTCACTTCAGTCTGTAAGTATCTTTGGCCTTACCGATTATGGCGCTGCTCCTATACGTAGAGGTACGTATTCTTCATCCCATAACGGAACGAATGTGGACAAAATATGGACAGAAAGACAGAAAAACAGAAAGATACCGATTGAACACGAACTTCATCCATGTTGGAGACCCTAACTATGGACGTCAGCCTCTCCGCTTCGAGCCGGCCGAGAATCCTTTTCTTCTTTACCTAAAAACTGAGCGGATCGTCTCCTTAGCCGGGCCGTCTTTTCTAAAACGCCTTCTTCCTATCGTCTCGCTATACATTAATCCATTAGCAAGGCTAGGTAGGTAGACACGGGCCAAAACGTACCCCAGCCCATGGTATCACTCACTCCCGTTTGAGGATACGAATGTAATAGATGGGCCTGGACAATAACGGAACGACTGGGAAACAGTTGAGCGGACGTTGGTCGGTGGGAAGGGGACAATAGAGAAGATCCAGGGGTGTGTACTTAGTACCTACGGTAGGTAGATGTAGAAGCATGCCGGGCTTGCCTACTACCTACTGTAGGTAAACAGTCAATTTTGCATGCCTCGGCTGCCTGCTACCGGTTTTTCTTTGGAAAATTCATGGCACACAGTCTTCAGTGCTGGGCAAAATGTGAGCGCAGAGTACATGTCATGCGTTTGCAAGTCTAGCATTATGATGCGATCTCGCAGTGTCGGTGCCGGCCCTTGGCAGCCTGTGACCAAGGATTGTGGATGAGCTGACATGTGATTGTCTTTGACAGCTTCGGTCAGAACAACCTGGTATGGGGGTGATTCATTCAGGATGTAGAACTTCTATTTCAAGAAGTGAGAACAAGGAACCAGAAGATATTGAATAATATGTATTGTATTGGGCAATCTGTTCCACGATTACCATGGTCACTAAACCTTCTCATAACCGTTGCCCATATGCTCAGATGCGCCTTCCAGTCCTCCCAATCTGAATGTACCGCCCCGAATACCCATGAGTGTTCATACAGCTTCTCCTGGTCAACCATGCCAGGCCTGCAAAGCAACGATACCATAATAACCGAGACCTAACTCGTACAGGAAAAGAAAAACAGAAAAACAACCCCTTCCTCCAAACCTGATAAAACCGCGTAATAAAGTCATTTCCTCATTCGTAATCGCTCGCCTGCTTGGCCTGGAAAAGACTGGTGTATGTGAATTTGCCGGCAAAGAAAGAAAAAGACAACGACCCATTAATGACTTCCTTCGGTTGGTTTCCCCTTTTGAAAATGAACCTGTACCATAGTTTATGTCCGATTTTAATTTCTTCAAGGCCTGCCCCGACAGGAGAACCTAACCTTTCCCTAAACTCCGGTGCGCGAAGGCGGAGCAAACTGATGCCCCAGACCTCCCAAAAAAGAGCAGCAGATATGTCATGTTGCAAAAACCAGTACAAGAGAAAAAAGATACAAGCCGGTGGTTTATGAGCAGCGCTTAGTCCATGTAGAAGTCGCCCTTCAGAATGCGCTCCTGGAAGGGATCAGGCTTTTGTGGGACAGGTCGAGGCTTCGGTGCTTGGGCGGGAGGTGCCGGCATGTCGGAGACAGATTTGGCTCGGTCATGTTGAGGGGTTGAAGCTGGTGGAGATGGGCGTCTGAAGCCGGCGCCAGGAGGCGAGCCACCAAGGCCTGAGGCAAAAGAGAATGAGGACCGTTGACCAGAAACGGTGCTCTCAGCACGGGATCGAAGCTGCTCGGACCAGTTGAAGCCTTGCTCTGAACGAGGAGATAACAAGTCAGAAGAGGTCTTAAGTGGGGTAGCAATGTTTGCATCTGAAGGCGTCCTTCCCCAAATGTAGTTACCAGTGCCCGGGGACGAGACGGGCGGAGGAGTGGGAGGAGGACCACGAAGGGAAGTGCTATCAATGCGGGTTGGTGGGGACGGCCTACCATTTGTCCCAGGGCTAACACCACCCCGAGGGCCCCGAGCGCCGCCTAGGCTCATACGGCGGCCGAAGGGAACGGCTGGTGCGGTGCGGGCGCCATCGTCCTCATCAATGGCATTCTCTTCAGCCAGTTCAGAGTTGTTGGTGGAGAGACTGGCACGACGCATAAAGGAAGCCGACGGCGATGATCCGGACAAGCCAAGGGTGGTGATGGAGAGTCTTCGACGTTGCTCGTTGATGGCGGCAGAGGTTCCGGGATAGTTTGTTGGCTGGGCCTGTGAGATGGAGTTGCTTCGGAAGAGGCTTGCCAAAGCGGCAGAAGAAGCAGTCACGGAGCCCCGTCTCTGTTGGCGCGCCATATCGTTGTTGTTCTGATTCGAGTTGCTGTTGTCGGAAGACATGGTGAAGGAGGCGGACAGGTGGCGGCAAGGTGAAAGTGATATATAGGTAGTCTGAGTAAGGGACTGTGTTCTGGCCCGGTCTGTGTTGATGGTCCTATTGGAACAAGTGGCGTAGAAACGGTAACGGTTTCGAAGGTGAGTGGAGGGTGGTGCGGTTGTTGTTTTCGTGAAAGATGAGCTCGTATGTTTGTAGGTGGCAGTGGTTCGAGTTGCGTGTGACACGATGCAGTCGGTGTTGTAGAGGTGAAACGCAGCCGTTAGGGGTAGACGTCAAGGCGGGCGGGGCCGAATGACGACTGAGGTGTGCGAGGGAAGGTTTATAGAGTAGACGGCAGGAATGATGTGATGATATCGGATTGCTCCAGATTGCGCACTCTCTGCACCTGAGTCAAACCGCTAATCCCGTGTAATAATGGGAATTGATTGATGGGCCAAACAGCAAAAACGATCGACACTCGCCGTGTCTCGTTCGACTCGACCGTGCCGTGTTGCGTTGCTGTGCTGTTTGCTCTCCAGAAAGATGCCCGGGCAGATACTGTCACCGTCGCCGCCTTTGTAGTCGGGGCTGACGTCGCAATATCTCCCGTCTCGGTTGACTGGAGTGAGCTTCCCGGGACTGGACCAAGCAGTCGGACGGACTCTAATATCTTATCTTGCCAATGGAACTTCTTGGTTTCCCCGCTAGCAGTGAGGACAGAAAGTTGGGCAAATGTCCGCTTCAAGTTACACACTCTCGTGCTTCTCTTTGTTGCGAGTGGCTCTGAAAGGTGTCTGTACTTGGAGCTTCAGGGAGAAAGATGATGAACGAGGAATTGGGATGAGGTGCCAGGAAGGAAACTGGAGGCAAGAGGGGGATAATGTACATTTTCCTTGGTCCATCAAAGAGGGGAGACAAAGTCCCCAAAAGAACCCCTTGGGGCTACAGCCACTACATAGAGAACATGTACCCTCAAGGGGCGCATCACACCCTAAGCAACCGGGAAGGTTCCGTATCCCATTCAGCTGAGCATGGCAGTGAACTATTGACCCAAAGGCTTACCGTATGTGGAGAGAATTGCCCATTACTTAGCCAATCGGCGATCATCGGGCCATAATTGTGCGGTTAAAGCAAGCTAGCAATAAGTGTGAATAGTGAAATGGCAGTGCAAGTCTGCCGATCAGTTCTTGTCTGAACTTCTCAATCGTGATCTGTTGGAGTCACTGTTGGAGTGACAGCAGAAGGCAGAAGCACGCGAGAACTCCAAAGGATGTCCGCGATGGATGTGCTCCGCACACAGCCATAGTGGAGAAGCTAATGATCTTACCATCCAATCCAAGATGCATGTGTTTGTCCTTTCCTTGTGTGTACTAGCGGGCCATTTGGGGACTGCGGGGGTTTGCCGGGGAAGCCAGCAGCGTCCGACGCTAACAATTAAACTTGCGCTAAAAAGGAGCCAAGAGGTTGCCGGTCGACGTCACGGCGACCGGCTACGGCTACCCCCCTTGTCAGGACGTTTGCGGGGTAAGGAGGCGCGAATGTGAGTGGTTGGGATTGCCGTCACTGCAATCTGCACTGGACCACACCAAGTTGAACTGTTCCCTGGACGGGAGCTTTCAACGCATCTTATCTGCACAAGGATTGTCGTGACGAAGGACCGTGGCTTCCTGTCTAGAATTTCGCCTCCTGCCAAACGGGCAGCTCTGGTTGTCATGGTTGTCATGTTCTGCGAGGCAGTACGCACTGGAATGGAAGGCATGTCCAAATTGGGCGTTTCATATCATCGCTTGGCTTTCAAGCTTCAACCCTTTTCTCCCTTCTGTACTTCCAACGTCAATGACAGTTCATCCGCCATCCCTCGAATATCAACTTGGGGGACCACGTTGGCGCTCTTTCCACCGGCACCCATGCGTCGTCTATCCTGTGGGTTAGCTGGCTCCTACAGAGATGTAGATGCACGTGTCAGCACAATCTATGCACACCTTAGCTCAAGCTGTATTCTATCCATATGCGGCTTCCATTTGTCAATTCTGTTCGGTGGAAGCTGCCAGAGGTTCGTCTAGGTAGGTATCAAACATGGACACTTCAATGGAAGCCATCTTAGTTGTCACGGAGATGGGCTCCGCCCATAGTGGTTTTTTTCTTTCGCGTGTTCACGATGGTGTGGTCTTTGCCACCCCCTTCAACTGCTTCCACTCTGTTTCTCATTCGGCCTGGAATCTTATTTGATCCCTCAAGGTCCCAACATCCTTCCATAGGAAACCCGCCAAGTGGACCGGCTTGATATGTGGACAGGCTTCATCCTTCTTGTCGTGCTAGCGTTACACGGAAGGGCCGTCTACGCAGTATATAGGATCTGACTAATTCCATGCCGCCAAGATGCGTCTGGGAGATGTCAGTGAATCCCCCTTCCCTTCATTTTGACAGAACTTTGAGGTCCACCACGGACCGTCCACCAACGCTACGCCGGTAGACATCCTGCATGATACCCCCTTTCTGACTAGCCAATTGGGTTCCTCAGACAAGAGGTCAAGGTCGTCAAAGGGATCTCACAGATCTGGCCGACCTCGCCTACCAACCTAGCCGGTGAGACTCGAGAGGTCCGAGAGGCCCGGTAAACTTCCCCCTCGCTGGCCCCCCTTGTGTACATCCACCCACTGCATCTGCAATGAAAGACAGATTGGCGAGGCGGCCATGCTTCCAACAACCATCACAAGCCGTGTTCCACCCTCACTGGTTCGTTGTGGCAACCTAAGCTATATTGCATGCAGCACACCATTACAATTGACCGGCGTCCCCTCAATTTCTGACTTTGACACCAATTCATCTTTGCGAGTTACGAATTCCGGTTGGTGTAACCCCGATGATGGAGTTGGGAAACCCTGGTCTACCCATGGTCTCTCCGGCACACACATTGCGAAGTCTTTTTGTGGCGAAGATCTCCCTCTGAACGCTCTCGGGCAGAATTCCTCAATGTGTACGATTCATCTCAATATCTCCAGCGGCAATGACACAGGATTGCGCATCATGGTTTTTCACATACCATGGTTGAGACAGATGAGCCATATGCCAGATAAGCTTTCGAGACCTAGACCGACAAGTGACAGCGTAGAAGCCTGTCAGAAAGTGGCACCGCGTCACTCCCTGTCACCTTGACAGAATAGGAGAAAGCTCTTACATCCCTTGACTCGATTTGCGATAAAGCCATCTTTCCACACATTTGTTTCGTCTTTCTCGACATTTTTCTTCATTCGACCCCTGGCCTTTCAGTGTTTCTCAAATTCGTTCGCCTCTTCACGACTCCCCGAGACCATTGTTACACCAGCACTACCCTTGGGCCCTCGCACAAATTTATTTCTGGTTGTTACCCAAAGTTGCCTCTCAGAAGCTTCAATCCGTCCCGGATAGATGCATGATTGTGAGCCGATTGACCACTGCTGGCGTTGTAGTCTCTTCGACTTCCCGTATCTCTCGTTCGAGAAACTACCCATTCTGGCCTGCTTGGGTTTTGGATGAGTCGATGTTATTCCGTTCATTGTGCACTTTCCGTATGTCCACATAAAGGAATCAAGAAGAGACAGAAGAGACATAGTACAGAGAGAGGAAGAGGACACTCCTCGACAGCTCCAGCTGAAGCGTGATGAAGCCTGAAAAATACCGTTCTCTTTCCTCCGATGACATTCACTATGTACGTCAGCTAATCAAACTACACATATAGACCGTCAATGTTTACGTGATTTTGTCTCACCGTACACTAGCAAGATTGTCCGGAGGCAAGATCAGATAAGAGAAGTGAATGGAAGAAGGTTCGGATGCCGGAACTCCTGAGACATACCACTAGTAACTATGACGGCTTGATGTAACGGTCCCTTTGTGCTTCGTGGGAAGTCATCCATTCTCTTTATATCCGAAAACTCTATAGTGAGAGAATTGTTTCGAAAGACAACCTAACCACCCGGACAAGAGGACTAAAACAGAACCGCAAATCATCATTGGTTTTCTAGCAATGAGAGACCCGTCAGACATAAATGAACATTCGGTTGGCTTTACCGCCTAGTGGATGTGATTTGATGCCATAAAGGAGTTAATGTCCGAAACAGAGAAAGAAAAACAAAACAAAACCAAGAACGGAAGTTCGAAAGTGCTAGGTATGTGCAACACCCTTCCCCAAGTCCATTTCAACTCCACCTACTAAAGCTGGGTCCCCCTTTTTCGGACCAAGTTACCTCATACACATACCTAGGTACATGTTCTCGAGTCCGTCGATTCAACCCCTACCCAGATCCAAATCTAGAAATAAAATACCTAGTCTATAGAAGCCATATGATTACCCGTCGTCCACAACTAACCAACGAAATCCATACGCACATCCGTTGTCGTGTGTGGTTCACAGGGTAGTCTGGTCTAGAATAGGTCCAACACTGCCGTGCTACTTACCAGGTACCTATTCTTCATGGAACATCCATCGGTGTGTTCTTTCTCCAGTCTGCCCGTCGGCGAGTATGTAGAGGCAGTGTCCGATATACAGGTAGTTGATGAGATTGTAAGTCTCGTCGGAAGGGGAGACTACCTGCATCAACCAACTACCCATGTGATGAGTTCCTGGTTTGGCGGGCATTTTCTCCGGTACTACGAGATGGAAAGGTAAAAAGGCTTGGAAAGATGGAAAGGTCCAATGAATGGGGTTGCTTCACTCAACAACCATTGCTTGTTTGGAAGCGTGTTGATTTGAGTAGTTTTTGACCCTTTCCCTTTCTGGCAGGAATTGGTGGACATGTTTTATGCTACGTTGCCAAAATTCTGTGATGTGTCGAGCTGTCAGTGGTAAGGAGCAGATTTTCTTTTCGTTCTGGGCACATGAGTTTAGTCAAAGTGGTGGTAATGATGATGATGGTAAGTGGATGATAGTATGGTGATGGATACGCGCCTTCCTTGTGTTATTCAGTTCTTCATTTTGATGTTGTGGACTCGGATAAGGAAGAAGGAAGGAGCCGTGGTGAAGAAAGTGCGTCTACCTAGCTCCCACTCAGTCCTTGACCTTCTATGGCTTTCGCACTTGCATGTGTAGTCAGTTAATGGTTTAAGAGCCGTTGCAATCTTCCCATGCTTGATGTTTCCAGCCGCTCAAGGTTCGGAGAAACCCTCCATTATCATCAAACATCTACTTCAGAGCAAAAGGGAAAGAAAAGGTATGAAAGTTACTACTAAGACGGCAGAGGTCGCAATACCATGGGTTAACAGGTGAAATATCCGCGTGATAAAAACAATGTCGAACTAGCAATGTCCGCTGTGGGAAGGAGGTTTGTAAATCTCAACCAGAGAGCACTGGTAACTGGGTTCGTCATCACAAGAGTTGTTATGTCACTGGCACAGGTAGGAAGAAAGGAAGAGGTAGATGTTGTAGGCGTCGACAGACACAAAAGCAGTTGTCAATTCCAATCTCCGTTGCTATATGTTGCCCTGCCAACATAGAAGAACCCTTAAATTTGTGTCGCCGATATGTTCGTTGTTCCAAGCCATGCCATAATTCCATTCCTTCGCTAAGCGGGCAACACGGGGCCCTCTGACCTTGGTAAAAACACCCTTGCTCCTCCCAGCCGAGTAGGCATCAAACCCATTCTCCAATTAATACAATAATACTCCACCCCGCCGAGTCCAGTCCTAGGCAACACGAGGCCAGCGTACATTGACAAAAAAAGCAACCTTGTCCCTCCAAGCAAGTATCAACCTCCTTTCTCCAACCAAACACCGTAGAACTCCGAATAACCCCAACCCTCCAAGTCAAAGCCAAATCGAAATACAGCGAAATATCTTCCTCCTCCTTTCTTCAGCACACGGCGATGCTTCTCCTCGTGATCACAGACCAACAAACCTGGTCGATCACAAATCCCATGTTGCCTCGGGCTCTTGAAACCTGAAACCCTCGGGCGCCTCAGCCCCATACTCCACCAAAAACATCTGCTCCTCCATCAACATCGACATCAGCCCGGTATTCTCCCACTGCGGCTGTTCTTCGACTCTGAATTTCTTGCTGAGCTTAAGACGATTGTAGATAACGTACGCCAGCAGCCAGAGCTCCTCCCGCAGGGGCATCATCTCGACCGCGTAGAACTTGCCCGGCTTGTGCTGGAACACATCAAACAGGGCCTGCAAAGCAATGCGGATGGGTTTGTAGAGGTTTTCAAGCTCGTTGTTGTTGCGGAAAATTGTGGGTGTGAGCAAGTCCCACTCCGAGGAGGGGATTTGGTCTTCATTTGCTCCGTCGACGAGGATCTGCATGGCGTCGTAGAGTTCGGCGAAGAAGGTCTTGACGCCTTGAGTTGCTTCTTGGAGGTTGGCGAGCGCTACGGAGCACAGTAAGGGGCACTCGAGTTCGATGCTGGCGAGGTAGGCCAGGACGTTGTTCAGGATGATCCCGCCGTTGAGGGGTCGGTAAGAGGAGGGAGCAAAGATCTGCCCTTTCATGATACTCTTGTCGTAGATGAATGCCAGGACGTTGGCCATCCGCTCGGGAGTCGTATTGGGATACACGAGGCGGGTAAAGTTGCCGTCCTAGAGAAAGAAGTTGTTAGCATTTCACGTAAGGGAGGAAGAAGAAAAAGGCACGAGCAAATCCAATTCCGTGGATAGATTGCAAGATACTTACTGGAATTACTTCAGAAGACTCCTTTTTCAAGACACTTTGCTCTCGAGCAAGCATTTGGCGATGAGCGAAGAACTTTCTGTCTCCGCACTCGATCACGACGTCGAAATCCTTGGGATCTTGCCACAAGCTATTATCAGTCAAAAGTTAGTGACCGAAGTTTTCTGAGAAGCAATACCTGACAGCTAGGGGCAATGGGGAAACGTGCTCGATCTCCTTTCGGTCGTGTTGCTTGATAAGTTCAGCGATCCGCTTCTGTTGTTGGATGGCTTTCGGCCATAGACCTTCTTCGCCTGGTTCATCGCAATGGATTTCAAAATCTCCTGCTCCGAGAAAGTTGGAGGATCTGTTGCGAGTTGCTGGTGCTCTGGTCCATTGCTCAGCGTCGATAGGGCGGCCACGGCCCGGGAAGAATGCGATAGGGCGAACCATTTTTGGTAAGAAGCCTTTGAACCGAGGTTGGAGATTAAGTTCGTGGTGGTTGTATTGAAGGTTTTTGGCAAAGCGTGATGCGAAGCTGGTCGACGGTGGCTGGCCAAGTTGAAAGCGATCTTTGAGCGTGGGAGACTGATTGTGGAATGGATGAGAGGAGTTTTCGAAACCAGGGAAAGTTGTGCTCCTTTGCCTTGGTCTTATAGTGGCAGGAGGGTGCCGGTTTTGGCCTCCCCAACCTGCGGCCTTCAGCTTGGTTGGGGCATTCCGTATGCATGGTGATGCTTTAACTGGGCTTCGTCTGCAGGGCGGTTCGGCGTACAGTTTCTTCCCTTGGTTTTGTTCAGCGAGAGCTGCATTTATGCATGCATTCGTGCTGCGTGTGCTCTCCTTGGTAACGCCGCCACCTTGGGGCGCTGTCGGACCTCGCTCAACTGTGGCAGCACCTTTCTTCTCCGGTTCCTGACCCTTCTTGATTGCCTTTGGGTGTTGTGGAATGGGTTGTGGCTTGATAGTTAAATCTAACGCCGGAAGGCTCGCTTCCAGAACGGTATTTCCTTTCTTCTTTTTCTTCTTCGGACTTTTCTTCGGATTCTTCTGAGGGCTCTTCTGGGGACTCTTCTCAAGACTGTTGTGAGAACTCTTCTCGGGACTTTTCTGAGAGTTCTTCTGGGGTTTCTTGTCCGCACCCTTGGCCGGATTCTTCTCGGGGCTCTTCTCAAGACTTTTCTGAGGCCCTTTCCCTAGCTCTTTTGGCACGGTGATCTCGACTTCTGCCATCTTCGAATCCGTCTGCGGTCCTTGCAGTTCCTTCTTCTTGACCACCAAAGCGGTTGTCCGTTTACCCGTCACAGCTTGGGCATAAGATGTTGGAGCCAACTTCGGCTTAGCCACAGGTTGCGCGAGCTGCGGGAACTCGTTTCGTGACGGAGCGGTCGTAGAATTCGTATGCAGAGCGGACTTTGTTTGCTCTGCCAGCTTGAGATTAGGTACTGCTGGTGGGGGTTGCTGCATAGTTGGCTTCCCAGGGACAAATGTGGCCGCTGAAGGTTTGAGAGGAGTTTCGGTCTTCGGTGTCGGGGCCGGAGCCGGAGTTGGAGTTGGAGCCGGAGTCGGAGTTGGCTTCACCTTGAGTTGTGCGCCTAGTTTCCCGCGGACAGCACTTGCATACGACAGCGGCTGAAACCGTGGTGGTTGGCTCTTCTTCTCCATCATCGACGGCACGGCGTTAACCTGTGGCGATGGGTTGTGGTCGAGGTTGAGTTGCAGGTAGCCACCAGACGTTGCCCCGCGGAAAATGCAAATGTGTGGCCCCCGGCGGTTGGTGCTAAGGGTAGCAAAGAAAAAAAAAAAGCGCGGGAAAAGAAGTAGCCAGCTGGGCGTAGGGAGTTCGAGAAAGGGTGAAGGTCAGGTGAGTGAAGGGTCAGTGAAGGGCGAGGGCGCCAACCGGAAAACGATCAAAGGCGCGTGTAGTTGTTTAAGGCCCTAGAACCAACAACCAACTGCAAATCATAACCTTAAAAGACCCATGGGCTAATAACAAGGCTGTCGTCATTCTATTGTGGAAATAAGGTTTTGCGGGAAGAAAGCCGAAAGCGTTCGTGGGTTGCCGCGAGATTTCGTCGTCGTCGGGCAAACTTCCTTCGGACGAAAGATAGGCGCAGTACCTGACGCGAGGCGACAGTCAATGATTGCCAGTGTAGGCGACCGGTTCGAGCTCGAGGATGACAGTACCGATGAACGGACGGAATGGCGCCGTAATGAACATATGGCCCAACAAGTTTATCTCCCGCACTGTTCTTCACACAGCATTAATGGCTTCGCGTGGATTTCTGGGATAGCAGAATCACCAGGCATATCTGGTCCAAGATAAGTAAGTCATTCAGTCCTCCGATTCCCAATAGCGATATGGCCAGGACGTAGAAAGAGATCGCGCAAGTGTCTTACCGGGAAGACTAGTTCATCATTTGGTCCAAGGTCCATGGGTACTACAGCCCCGCCTTCATCTGCCCCGTCCACACACATATGAAGAGGAGCAATCATACTCCATCATTTTCATCGTGGTCCAAGTATCCAGCCGGATGCTGACGAGCAGTTCGGTCTCGACTCGACTGTCAGGGCAGCCGAGATGCCTTCGAAGATGGAAGTGAGCTGAACCACGTCGTGGCAAAAGTGCCTAGGGCGTCGTGAGATGTTCAATATAGGGTGCACGTAAGGATCACGATTCAGGATAGTAGGCGATATCGCTGGCGAACTTGGTCGGAATCATGACAACGGCACCTTCGACTCATTTTCATTAGTCTAGACAAGCCGCTATCGTGTAATGTGAATGAGGGAATGGGGGTTCAAAAGCAACGCTAAATTGTATCATGAGGTATGGAACAAAAGAAACTAGTTCGCAACATAGAAGGCTTCCCAACCGACCACATCAATTATGCACTATGACTTGATCATGAAAATCTGCACACAATTATCAAGTTAGTCAATGACACTTAAAAGAACGGGAAAATTTCGGAGTTGTCAAGTACTGACCTGGTTGAGAGCTGCGCTGTCGGCGAAAGCCATCTTTTTCTGCGCAATGAACCTTGACCTGGCCAAGAACCGTGTTGAGGATGTGATAGTAGGAGTAGATGTGCCGCTGCTCGTCGCCGTCTCAGTGTCGTCTTTCCTCCTCTTCTTGTCTTTCAATTTGCTGTCTTCACTTTCTGTGGCAGACTCTGATGACTCCTTCTCCTTGCGCTTCTTGTCTTTCTTCTCCTTCTTCTTCTCCTTCTTCTCCTTCTTTTCCCTCTTCTTGTCCTTCTTCGACTTCTTGGCCTCCGAAGCGGACGATTCTACGTCATCTTCATCGTCGGAGTCGCTCGAGCTCTTCTTGCTCTTCTTCTTCTCCTTTTTCTCCTTCTTCTTCTTTTCCTTTTCCTTTTCTTTCTTGTCCTTCTTCTCCGTCTTCTTTAACTTTGAAGATTCGCTGTCTGTTTCAGCTTCGGTGTCGGTCTTGCGCTTTTTCGATTTCTTGTCCTTCTTTTCCTCCTTCTCGTCTTCGTCGTGGCTGTCCGCCTTCCTCTTCTTAGATTTGTTCTCTGTGGACTCGGCGCTGTTGGTGTCTTCGGAGGGTTGTTGATCGACAGATTCGCTTTGTGGTACACCGTCTTCTTCCGTCACCTTCTCCTTGACCACATCACCAACCAACCAGCCGCCCCTGACAAAGCGGATCGTTCCAATCTTTTGTTCCAAGTAGTGGTTGCGGAGGTGGTTTTCGCGCTTCTGCTTCTCGGCTTCCAGAACATCCTCGGCCTTGCCGTTCAGTCGTCCAAGCAAATGTTGGAAATCGAAGAGACCAGTGCACTCGTCGCCATTGTTTCGCTTCGCGCCGAGACCAAGGTTGTCGTCCTTGAGCGTGACCTTGATGTGTGTTGAGCTGGCTTCCGTGTGATGGACGGCATGCGCAGCATCTTTGGCGCCCAGAAAATCGCCGGGCTGCCAGCCTTGGGCGCGAAGGATCTTTTGGCCGAAAGTGGTTTCATTACGGGACCATTTCGTGTTGTTGGGGTCGGTTCCCAGCTTCCGCTTGCTATTGAAGTTTCACGATTAGCACGTGGTAATCAAAGGGAGCACAGCCATCCAATATGCGCTCACTTCTTGGCAGCGGCGAGACCCATGATTGCTTGACGTCGTTGACGAGGTTCTCAGCTTGTGTGCTGAGTCGTCAAAGGCCAATGGGCTTGGTGTACTGCAACTGAACTTTTGAGTTTCGGGACGCCCTGTCTGTGCTGCTGCATTCATTCAATTTTTTGGCGGGGGCCTGCGATCTCGTTGAAGATCTGCCGGCCTTCACCGCCCTAGAATTCCACACAGTTCGTGAACTGTGGCTCAACGCTGCAGGGAAGGTCCCTGTAATGTTGCTCCTTCCGAATTTAAATGTGGAGAACTGCACTTGCCTGCCGCTTTCGAGAACATCATTGATCGTGAATTCTGGACGAACTTCTGTTCATCCGACACTCTGTTTCCCTTGTCTCTAATTGTTCAACATCATTTACTGTGCACTCTGACAGTAAAATTTTATTCCATTCTACGTCGAAAAACAACGTCCCGGTCCAGACATGGCACCCTCAGTCAGCACCGCCAAGTCCAGGGCTAGAAAGTCGACTGGCACCGTACTTGACGATTCCGGTTCTGATGATGACTACCAAGCCTACAACCTGCGACTCCAGGAAGCCAGCGCTGCTAGAGCACGTCTCAAGAAGGTATGAACATCAATCGAAAGTGAAGAAAAAACTCAAACACATTTTCCGGTGAACCAAAACACTCATCTAGCATAATCTCGATTTCTTACAATTTCAGGCAAAAGAAGAGCGGGACAAGAAACGCAAGGCCCTCCTATCAGCTTACCAGGGCGCCCTCTCGTCCATTCAAGACCGCGTGAAGAAGTCGGTTTCCAAGTATCATGACCTCCAGTAAGTCCAGGAACGTACCCGGCCGTCAGTCCGTTTGAACAATGTCCTTCTTCCAGTGCCACTTGGGAGGATACTCGCCGTTTACCCGTAGCCCCTATTTTTCTGACCGTACCCCGTGATATGCTTGTAGCTCAGTCATGCACACCTCCCGTCTTCTTCGTCTCAAGAAAGCAGTAGAAGCCCGCGACCAAAAGCTCACTGCCATCGCCAAGAAGCTGGCCGACGTGCAGCGCATCATGAGCAACCATAGTGTTCAGCTCTGCGCCTTGTACGAGGGTCGCCGTAAGGACTTGGCTGCCATGCTACCCCAGCCCAAGCCCAAGAATCAGGAGGATGATGGTGCTGCTGATGTTGCTGAGTTGGCAAAGTCGTCGGGCCAGGAGGATGCGCAGGGATCTGCCGTCGCAAAGAAAGCCTCGTCAAAGCCGGCTACTGCTGTGGTGAAGAAAGGTATCAAGGACAAGTGGGGAGCTGCTAATGCTTTGTGTTGAAATCGTTGATGGTGCTATGGTGGAATTCGGTATATGACATTGTGATCGCATTTGACGGGTTTAGTGTTTGACCGCACGTCTTCGGGCGGTGATATCGTAGGCTCTGGATCCGGAGGAGAGCAAGAAGAGCGGAGTGAGGACTGTAAAAGTTAGTGAGCCAGAAGGTTGGTTGCCACACCACCTGATCCACGGGCAGCTAAGAGGTTAGAGAACTGGTAACGCCGATGTCCCAATGACGAGTGTAGACAAGCGAGAAGGACCAGACTGCAAAACATCCAACAATGAAGATTCAAACCAGAACCTCTCTCCTTCCCTTTCTATGCTGTAGTTGTACAAATGTAAATGCCGTAGTATGATTTTATGCCTGAGAACGCCGCCTCCGGTGCTGCCGCAGCACGGTTGTGGTTGTAGTAGTAGTATTATACATGGATATTGTGTTTTGTGGACTCATCATGTCGTCGGTCATTACTGCTTCTGCTGTTGCTGCTGATCGCTCGCTTGTGCTCGTCCGAAGGTCTTAGACCTTGAAGCCGAAACCAGCCATGCAGGCGCGGTACTGGTCTATCGTCGAAACGCAGTCCTTCTGGGGGTCATCGGACTTGGAGAAAAGCATGCAGTCATCACGCTTGGCCTTCTCTTCCTTGCACACGCAGCAGGGCTGTGTAATTTTAGCATCGTATATTCGGTGTACAGCTATCGCTGAGCTGGTTCATCGGGGGGTTCGGGCGCACCTTGGGCTTCGCGGGGGCGTCGGTGGAAGGAGTCGCTTGCGCCGGAGCGGCGGCAAGGGAGGCGGCGGCAGCTGTAGTAAACAAGCGCATTTGATGGTTAGTCACCATGGACAGCGAAGAGAGCGCTTTATAGCAAAACAAAGTCCGTTGGCTGAACAAAGATACTTACGAAGGGCGGTAAGGGAAGAAGCTTGGGAAGCCATAGTGAAGAATATGCTGCAATAACTGAAGGGAATAACCAAAAGAATAGAAAGCAAGGAGTTGTTGCGCAAAGCGTCAACTTCGTCTTTTCGAAATATTTCAACGAATGGTGCCAATTGATTTGTCAATGTTGCAATCCATCCAATTCCACAGCCGACTTTCCGGTGCTCGCTCTAGCGCAGCATGGGTACGTACTCGATGCGCCAAGCCGGTTGGCGTCAGTAGATCCACAAGTCACATGATCACTGAAATCAATGGGAGCTCCTATTGGGAAAGTTGATGGTACTTGGGGGTTGTGGTGCGGCCTGGGACTTTTCCTTAACCCTCTCTCATAAAAGAGGAGGAAATTTTTCAATAAGATAGCGAAATATTATAAGACAATCTAAAATAGAGCTAAAATACTAAGAAAGCTATTAGTGCATTAACGTTCGCGAACTAAACAGCCATGAAATCATTTTCTAAAAATTCAAGAAAATTTGGAAAGTAGAAAATAATATAAAGATATCACTCTTTATATTTTAAAAACTCATCTTTCTAATTAGGCAAACGGTGGCCTCCTGTTACGAACTTATGAGGACACA